GTCCCAAGCCAGCCGGCCCCATCTCTCTTTTTTCTTTTTTTTAAGCTGAGCCATCCTGCCACCTGTTGGTAGCTTAGCGGCTGCTCAGCTCGGGCCGGGACTTGAACCGCTGTTTCTCAGAGCTCAAACTCTTGAGCGAGCTCTTAACCAACTGAGCCACTCGGCTGGCTTCTTTTTTTTTTTTCTTAATGTACCTAAAAGATTGTCAATTTTGTTGATATTTTTTGAAAAAACAACTTTGATTTTGTTGATTCTGTTGTTTTCCTATTCTGTACTTATCTGTGCTCTATAATCTGTAGTATTTCTATTTTTCCTGCTAATTTTGTTCTCATTTTTCTAGTTCCTTCAAGTACAGAGTTAACTTTTTGATTTGAGATCTTTCTTTATTTTTAATGTATGCTTTTATAGATAATAAATTTCTCCTGAGCACTGTTTTTGCTTCATCCCATACATTTTGGTATGCTGTGTTTTTGTTCTCATTCATCTCAAAATATAATTTCATTTCTCTTGTGATTGTTTTTCCTTTGGCTGTTTAAGTGTGTGGTTGTTCAATTTCCACATATTTTTGAATTTTCTAGTTTTCATTCCGTTGTTTCTACTTGCATTACATTATGGTCAGAGAAGCTAATTTGTATGGTTTTAGCCTATTTCAATTTGCTGACCCTTGTTGCATGGCCTGACATGTTGTCTGTCCTGACAGTGTGCCATGTGCCCTTGAGAATGTGTTGTGCTCTTCTTGAGTAGAGTGTTTTATACATGTCTTAGATCTGATTGGTTTATAATGTGGTTCTTTGCCTTAAATGCCAAGATACTGAAGGGCCAGTGTTCCAAGTCCAAGTGAAAAACCAAGGCTTTCCTAAGCTCTTGGATCTTGCCAGTCTTTGTGGCCACATGACCCATTCAGAAGCATACATCAGGCTGAAAAACAGCCAGCCTCTGTGAGTCACACATCTGACTTCTTCAGACCTCATTAGCAATTGAAAATTGCTTTAAAATGTATCAAAAGTGTATTTCCATCTAGAAATTGCTTGTCTTTTTTTGTTTTCTCCATTTTTTCTAGAGAATCCAATAAGTGAAAATCATAACATGAATCATTAATTATGGGGCTTCTTTTGTCAATTCCAGCCTGCCTCCTGGCTGCAAAAAGCAAGGGGTTGGGTCCTACGAGGGCATACGTGGACTTGCTTCTTCCCCAGATTTGTCTGTCAGAAATTAGCATAAAACATTTTATATTAATTTTATGTATGCAATAGCCACAAAATACAAAGCCACTTAAGGGAAGAGCCCCATTTTTTCTTACTACAAGTGTATTCGAGCGCTTGACAGTAAGTCCAGCATTTATAGGCTGACATTACAGCTGCTAGGGAGGTGCTCGCTGGAATGCCACCCTGCCCCTCATGGCCTCACAGAGTCCCTATTGGCCTAAAGAAAGGACTGTCCGCCTAGTTTGTCTGAAGCTTCACTGCAGCCCTTGGAACTGAAAAACCTTTCTCCCCCTCTTGGAGGAGAGAAGAACACAAACTTTTTACATTTTGACCCAGCCCCACCCACCTTTGGGAGTGTGTTTGGACACTGTCCCTCCCACTTGGAGGTGAGAATGATGACCTGATGAGTTACCAAGCTGTGTCCTCTCACTTTAGCCAACAAGGCCACAAGCAGCCGGGCGTCCAGCAAGAGACTTCTGGGGCTGCATTTACTGGACAGCTCAGCTTCTGTTTTACACTATAGACCCAATCTTTACCATACCTGTCCCCTCATCCTTCCTTTTACCAAACAGTGCTTTTGTAATATTTCAGCGAGTCAGGCTTATTCTAGAGAGTCCCACCACTGCCATCCCTGTGCTGGGGTCGCCAAAACCCCCTCAGGTTCGAGGTTTGCTAGACCTCCCGGGACTTGGCATACAGTCATCCTCAGAACTATGGTTTATTACAATGACAGGACAGAGCAGGATCAGCCAAAGGAAGAGGCACACAGGTGACGTCCAGGAGAAACCAGACAGAAGTTCTTCCGGGGGGGTCCCTCAGGATGTACTTCCCTCCCCCAGCAGCGAGTTGTGACAACACATGCTGTGTCCTGTACCAGAGACTTGGTGCCCAGGGTTTTCACGGGGCTGGTCACATGGGCACCTCTGCTTGGCCCATGCCCACGTTCTAGAGCCCAGAGGAAGCAGGTTTCTGCAGAGACCACGTGGTCTGTGCCAACAGTCTAATGCAGCGAGCTCTCCCGAAGTCCAGGTCCCAGGTGCCAGCCGGGGCCGACCCTGTAAGCAGGACGCTGTGAGGACAGCAGTCTCGGACCTGCTCCGTTAGTTTCAGAATTAAAGTTTAATTTCTCTTCGTTAGACATTTAGGTGGTTATCTTTTGTGTATCTAATAAATGTGATGAGTATCTTTCTAACTTAATCACTTTGCCTTTATATCTTTTATATTTTCTGATACATATTTATATATTTTGTCCTCCCCTTACCTTTTTAAAAAAAAATCTTAATTCTCATCAGTAAAGTTTTCATGATATTTAGTGTATTGATAAAAAATACACTATACACTGTGGATTCTTAAGAAGTATTATCTTTATCAGTACTTGTTAATTTTTAAAAAATGTATGAAGATTAGGACGTTGTAAGTAGTTTTGTTTTTGATACTCTGACAGGCCCTAGTAGTGATAATGTTGAAGAAGACATGAGCGCTTCTTCCCGAGGAGCGTCCGCTACAGTTCTGGAAGAGACTAGGAAGGAGACAACCCCTGTGCAGCTCCCGGGGTCCGGGCCTGAGCTGGCCGCCATGATGAAGATTGGAACCAGGGTCATGAGGGGTGTGGACTGGAAGTGGGGTGATCAGGTACTCGGATATTTGCTCTAAACACGGCGGCCACACATTCGTCATCTTTTGCATCCTGACTTGCAAGCCATTAGTGGGTGGAAACTTGAATTGATAATGACCTTAACTCAGGACATGTGCAGCGGACAGATGACACAGTTGTTGATTCCTAAGCAGGTGAATAGAGTCAGGACGAGTAGCAGCATCCTGCATAAGGGCACCCCAGACAGGGTCAAGTCTGCGAGGAGTGGCGGCTTTTTCTAGAAAAGTCCTGGCGTGGGCTCAAACTGAGATGCAGCTGAGAGCGCGAGTGAGCAGGAGAGCGCAAACCTCGTCTGCATAGCAGTGTTCCAAGAGCTCTGAGGCTGGGACACCCATGCTGCCTCTGAGCCGATGGCCGTGCACTAAGCGCCCCGCCCAGCAGTCAGGCGGGCCATTGGGTTGGGGGGATCACCTTTCTGTCTCCTGGTAGCACATCACTCCAACAGCTCTGTCAGGTCTCCCCAGGTAGAGGTCACCGGGGCTGGTGTCTGCGGCATGGCCAGTCACTAGCTAAGGACAGTGTTCACCATCTTATATGTAGGTTTTCTCAGCCTTACTTCCAAGCAGTGCCTGCAGAGTCATCTCAGAAACCCCAGTGTCCTGCAATGGCTAGCACACCCCAAAAACTGAGGGGCCACTGAACAGGGCCCCGGGATGGGCAGCACAGCTTGGCCCCGCATTGGCCTGGGGGCTGTTAGTTGAGATGACACTTTTCTGCACTCACCTCTCTGTAAAGGAGTGAGAGCTAGTTGTTCCTGGCATTCAGTTGACGGTGACGTGAGCTGTGCATCATGCAGTCGGCTTTGGGGCAGTCTGCACAGTGACACGGCCACTCTCAGGCAGGGTCTGTGTGACAGCATGGGTGCAGCCCTCACTGGTCTTTGTTCTGGCTTCCAGGACGGACCTCCGCCTGGCCTCGGCCGTGTGATTGGCGAACTGGGAGAGGATGGGTGGATCAGGGTCCAGTGGGACACGGGCAGCACCAACTCCTACAGGATGGGGAAAGAGGGGAAGTACGACCTCAAGCTTGTGGAACTGCCGGCCTCCACACAGCCCTCGGCAGAGGACTCGGACACGGAGGACGATTCTGGTGGGTGCCTGCAGGCGTTGAAGCCAGTGCGCCTGGCAGGCTGTACCATCCTCGTGCTGGCTGGCCAGTCTTCTGATTGGGCGTGAGACAGCGCTATCATTTGGGGCGTGCCACTGAAGGTCCTGGTGAAATGAGCCCCTGCTCTGATTGCAGGGGCGCAGCGTGGCTCTGGGAACCGGCCACCCCGCTGCTTGCTGGAGCCCCATCAGAATGTGGCACCCCTCACCCCCATGCCCCTTTCCTGTCACTCAGTGCTGCTGGGGATGTGGGGGGAGGCAGCACCGTTTCCCCAAGGAAAGCAGAGGTGACAATTCTAACATCCCAGGAAGTTAAGTCCTGTCTAAGGAAGTCCAGGGTTGTGAGAGGAGAGCTTTGTGACATCTATTACATGTGTCCCAGAGGCCTTGGGATATGTGTGCGAAGCCTCCCATGGCTGGTCTTGCCGAGGCCGCGCAGGTGGTCAGCACCAGGTCTGTCATCACTGCATGTGACTACACAGCATCCACGCCAGAGTAGGTCTGGCCAAGTGACAAAAAGCTGGCCCAGTTGCCACGTCCCTCCTTGTACAAAAGCCTGGGCCTGGACCTGCGAGCCCCTGGTTGGCGCCATGGAGGCAGGCTCCTCGTCTCAGTCCAGGGTGTAGCTAGCAGTCAGCAGCCAGCTCTTGACATTCAGCGAGCTGCTTCCTAAGGGAGCAAATCCTTGAAGTTGTATCAGTGCTTCTGAGCTGCATGCTAAGATTGTTCTCTGAGGCAGGTGGGACAGAGATGCTGAGGGGGACGTTTAGTACATCCTGAATTGCATCTTTTCCTGTAAAGAGCTGCTTCCCTTTCCACAATGAAGAAAGAAGAAAGTGATATTAAATCCCTTAAATTACATGCAGGGACCTCTTCCTATTCTAGTTGGGGTATAGTTTCTTATTTTTGTTCTTTTTTTCAGAAGCCGAACAAATTGAAAGGAACATTCACCCCACTGCAATGATGCTTACCAGCACTGTTACCTTACTACAAACCCTGTGTCTCTCTGCTGGGGTCCATGCTGAAGTCATGCCGAGCGATGCCACCAAGACTCTGTGTGGGCTGCTGCGCATGCTGGTGGAAAGTGGGACGACAGATAAGACATGTACGCAATGAGTAGTTGTGGGCCCAGCATCAGTACTGGGGCTATGGTTTTGTCATATGTGCGTTCTAGGGTGATTGTTAAAATTTAGCCCAAATTTGGTAGCTGTCTTAGTCTGCTTGGGCTGCCACGTTAAAGGCCACAGACTGGGTGGCCTGAAAAACAGCAATGTACTGTCTAACAGTCTGGGGGCCAGAGTTCAAGATCAAGGTGTTGCAGGATGCTGCTCTCTCCAAAGGCTCTAGGAGCGGTTCCCTCCTGCCTCTCCCAGCTTCTGGTGGCTCCAGGCTTTCTTGACTTGTGACCACATTGTTCCAGTCCGTGCCTTGTCTTTACATGGGTGTGTCCCTCATGTCTCTGCGCCGTTTCCTGTCTCTTACAAGGACTTTCATTGGATTTAAGGTTCACCCTAATCCAGTATCTTAATTACATCTGCATGGAGTTTATTTCCAAATAAGGTCACATTCTGAGGTTCTGGGTAAACACGAATTTTGGGGGATACAGTTTAACCCATTAAAGTGTTCGAGTGTGAGTGTGTAAGTGGGGGGAGTGTGTGTCCGTGTTTCATGTGAGTGTGTACTATAAGAGTGCTTGTATGTTAGTGGGTTTGGTGTGAGTGAGACAGCATGTGAGTGTGTGCAAGTGACAGCGTGAATATGTGGTTGTGGTAGGGCATGAGTGTGGCAGTGCAGGGGTAAGCGTGTCTGAGAGGTGGTAGCCCTGTAGGCCGGGATGTGGGGAGGTGAGCTGGCGGTGGGGTCTGAGCAGATCATGTGGTCTGACCACGCTTCGGCCTGTGCCAGGGAGAGGGCAGCGCCCATCCGGAGTCAGGAGGAGCAGACGGACACGGTCCCATCCGACTTACTGGATAAAGCTCACGAAGACCTCTTGCTCTTGTCTTATTAACACAGACTTCTTATACTTGGGTTGGTAATTCATGGGCAGATTTAATATAAACATCACAGGGGACATTTAAAATATGAGAATTTTAAAAAGTATAATGCACTCTGGCAAATCATGCTGTTTGAGTTTCGGATCATTTCCCTACTGCCTAGAACTGTCAGCAGATACAGTTCCTTAACTAGTGTGAGCTACAGCGTGTATTTAAATGTGTTAAAAATGCTGTAAGGCGTTTCGTGAACTAATCCGAAAGCCATCGCCGCCCCTCGCACTTAATCAGGGAACTGATATACTTATAAAGCTGTTCATTCTTGAAAACATCGTAGCCAGTAACCTAAAGAAAGGTCAAGACTGCTGAGTGCCCCTTCCAGAGCTCTGGTGTCGACCGAGCTGTCTTCTTGCCTTGCCTGCAGCTTCTCCAGACCGGCAGGTGCGCCGCGAGCAGCACCGAGGCTGGTGCTCGCTGGGCTTCGTGCGCAGCATCGCACTTACACCGCGCATGTGCGCTGCGCTCAGCTCCCCACGGTGGATTGCCCTGCTCATGGCGGTGGTGGAAGGACCCGCGCCGTGCACAGCTGCCGCGCTGCAGCGGCAGGTAACCGCCCCCTGGGGGGCGGGACTGCGGGCCCCACTTCTGCAGTGAGGGCATCCCTGTGACCTTGATGCCTGGTCGGCCCCAGTGGGCGCCTCCTGGGCTTCCTGAACCGAACCAGCAGCTTGCAGGGCACCCAGGGCAGCCTTCTCCAGGCAGGCCTTGGTCACTTCAAGTCGATTAAATCGTCACGCTTTGGCCAACTTGCTTTTCTGTGAGAGGCCAAGTCCTACTGGCTGCTGTCGTCTGCTTCACAGTAGCTGCAGTGCCATTCTCTGGACAAGAACGGAGCCTAGTGGAATTACTTTTTAATTCAACGCATTCCTGCATCTGCCATGTAGCTCATTTTTTAAAACCCCTGGCAACCCATATAGTTAATCAAGTTGGCTCTGATTGGCTTTTAGATAACGAATATCGGCATTTGCACAAGACTAACTCATTCTAGGAACAAAAAATAAGGAGACATGGAAGTGGGCGGGGGTTTAGCAATCTTGTCTGCTTACCTCCCTCCCACCAGATCCTGGCGCTGCACCTGCTGCGGGCCGTGCTGCCATCGTGGGACCAGGCGGACAGGGCGAGGGACATGGAGGGCCTCGTGCAACAGCTGTTTGGCTTCCTGGGCGGCCTGCTCACCACCTGCTCCTCTGACGCGCCTCTCCTCCGAGGTGGGCCAGCCGTGTCCGCGTCCCCACATGTGTCCGAATCCCCACGTCCCGGCCGAGCAGGCAGGACCCACCAGCGCCTCCCTCTCCTCTGTCTTGCAGACCCGGCAGCAAGGCGGCAGGCCCGGCCGCAGGCATCCCTGACGGCCACGCACAGCAGCACGCTGGCAGAGGAGGCGGTGGCGCTGCTGCGTGCGCTGCACCGGCTGGGCCAGTGGCGCGGCCTCGTGAGCGCGCACATCAATGCACGGCTGCGTGCTGCCGCTCGCGGAACAGAACCGTCTGGGGTGGGTGCCCACCACGCCTGCCGGGCGCTCTGTGCAATGCCCACTGCGCCCGCTGATTGCCAAGGGCGCTGACCCCAGCTCAGCCTCAGCCTCACTGTCTCTGTCCCCAGACCCTGGCGGACGACCGCGTGCCCGACTCTGAGGACCCAGACGTAGGCGGCCTCATGGCGGTCCTGGCCGTGATCGGGGGCATTGATGGCCGCCTGCGCCTGGGCGGCCAGGTCACCCACGATGAGTTCGGAGAGGGTACCGTGACCCGCATCACCCCAAAGGGCAGAATCACCGTGCAGTTCTCGGACATGCGGACGAGTCGCATTTGCCCGTTGAATCAGCTGAAACCAGTAGGTGAAGCTGTGCCGGGTACTAGGGCACCTGGGAAGGGGCTCTCGGTGGGCGCTGGGAGAACACCCACTTGTGGGTCACACCTGCCTTCCCGGAAGCTGGCGACTCCAGCACAACCGACTGCAGTCGTCCCTGTGTTTGCCTTGCTTTGCCTTAATGTAGGTTACCAGTTCTCCTGAAATGACATTACAGGGCTATAGCAACTGAGAAGGTACTGTGTGACTGCAAGTCACTGTCAAATATTTTAGAATGTGAATTTATGAAGTTTAATTTTTGTTGAACAACTCAACTTTATAAAAAACCTAAAAATGATTCCTTTATAAAAAAAGACTTTTCTTCATGTAGAAATGCTTTCTAATTGTGTTAAGAGCCATGACTTTCATAGCAGCTACTGTCGTCTTAAATCCGTGAATTTGAGATGCATAGGGAAAGTGAGTGATTTATATTTTTTTGATGTAACCTAAGTTGCATTCTTACTGTATCATTCCACAAGACACATTTTTGATTGTTATAGAAATATACACATTGGAGACATTTTGAAATGTATAGAAAATAGCTAAAAAAATTATAACCACCACCCTGATATAATTTTGACAAGTTCATCAAGAAAAACATTAATTTAGATTATATTTATTATACATGTAAGTCCCTATCTTTCCTTTAATGTCATCTTTTAAAGCCATTATTCTCAGATGTGAAGAGACTTACGAATGTGTGAAGTATTGCAGAATTAAGACTCTTAATGTTGGTTATAACTTTAGTACACGTTGGTTTTTCGTGTTGTTGGACACTAAAGGTTTCTGTGCTCTCCCCAGCTTCCTGCTGTGCCTTTCAGCATCACCAACTTGCCCTTCACAGAGCCCATGCTCTCAGTCTGGGCTCAGTTGGTCAACCTCGCTGGAAGCAAATTGGAAAAGCACAAAATAAAGAAATCAGCTAAACCGGGTTTTGCAGGTTAGTGCATGGTGCTTCTCAATGAAACAGCTGCAGCCTTTCCTGGTGTCGTATGGACAGTGTTTGTTGTCTTGTCACTGCCAGTCTCTGGTCTCAGATGGGTTGACCAGTGCTGAGTTACGGTGGACACGGAGCCTTGGTGTGCTGATAGGAGTGGTAATACAAAGAAAGACTTTGTGCTGGGCGTGGCACGCGAGGCAGCTCCAGCCTTCCGCTGCTTCCCGGGGCCAGCGTGTATTCTGAGCAAGCGTTAGCCCTCCAGCCATGGCCCTCTGGCCCAGTTGCCTTTGGGGGGCTTTGCTCTCATCTCAGCCTCATCACAACCAGACCCAGCATGGCCTGGGGGTTTAGACCCATCTTGCTTCCTGTCTGGACGGTGGGCTAAGACTGAGGCTGCCTGTGCTTAAGCTCTTCCTTCCTGTAGTCTGGATACTGTTCTCTCCATTTTTCTTACATTGCCCCTGCATGATCTTGGAGAGAGCTCTTCTCCCTGACTGTTGTGTACCCACTGCAAATCCTCATGGTTTCCTTCATGACCTCTGGCTCATTCTGCCCTCTCTCCTTGGGTTTTCTCACCCATTTCTCCCACTCCTGTGATTGCTGCTGCTGCATTTACGATGGTGACCATCTTTAACTTGAGTCTCCAGTTCACATGTCTGGCTGGAGGGCATGTGGATACCACATGTCCAGAATTTAGCTAACCTGTCCCTTGGCCACCGTTTCTGTCATAGTGAGTGAACTGTGTGCCAGGTAGTTGAGTTCGGTGCCCAACAGGCACCTGTGCTGCTTCCATCTCCCGCTGTCCCACGTCAGCTGCCTTCTGTGGCCACCAGCACATGCCACTTGGCAACAGCGTGGGTGACGACTGTGTCCTGCTCTGCCCGCATCTGTGTGGCAGCTTCCTTAGCTGGCTCCTTGGTCTGCCCATTGGCATCGCTGCAGCCACTGTATCAGACTCTAGGGAGGGAGTGCCACAGTTAGGGAACTGTGCTGTGAGCCTGTGACGCAGTCCTCTGGGAGGAGTGTTGGCCTTAAAAAGGTGAAAGTCTTCGTTTGTGACGTAGGAGTCTGGTTCACATTTCAGCAATTTGGTAAACATTTGATTATACTAATAATAGCTAACACTTAACTCTCACCCCGGGCCATTGGGGTAGGTGCGTGGGTGCGGGAAGATGGGGAGACAGGGAGGCCGGGATGCTTGTCCAGAAGCACCAGTCTCTACTCTGTTACTGACAGTCTCTGGCACGGTTAGCTACTTGCCGTGGGGCAGCAGCAGCTCTGTGGCCGAACAGGCATGCCCGTCCCGCTGAGTCCTCTTCTCCCACAGGACAGGTAGACCTGGACCTGCTGAGGTGCCAGCAGCTAAAGCTGTACATCCTGAAGGCAGGCCGCGCACTACTGTCGCACCAGGACCAGCTCAGGCAGATCCTGTCTCAGCCAGCGGTGCAGGAGGCCACAGCTGCTCACACAGGTAGGTACCCTCTTACAGCAGCACTTAGTGAGCTGTAAGAAAGGCAGACCCTCCAACAGAAAACGGGCAGAGGCCATGAACAAGCAGCCCAGAGAGGGCAACTAGAGGTGGCTCCTAAATGTTCAGCCTGGCTGATAGTCGGCTAGCTGTGAATGATGTCACTGTCATGAGACAGACTGAGGGCATCTGGCGGGGAGGGGAGGGAACAGTGCTCGCCCATGGCCCAGCTACACTGACAGCACGTAGGAACAAGTCAGCAATGCAGACTCTCAGGCTGTACCCCAAACCTAAGAAATGAGAATGCACTTTAATAAAATCCTCAGGTGGTTCGAGGCACGGAGAGGAGCATGGTTTCAACACATTGTGAATGGGGATTACGTAGGTACAACCATCCAATGGCATCTGAGGAATGCACACACACATCACTATCATCTGTCTAGCTATCTATTATCTGCGTATCTATCTTCTATCTATGTATCTATTATCTATCTGCTTATCTATGTACCTGTATCATTGATCCATCGATCTATCGATCTATCATCTATCTGTCTACTGTCTATTGTCTATCTATTGTCTGTCATATATCTATTATCAGTCATCTATCTATCTCTATGTGTCCACTGACCAGCTAGTCACCTGTGGGAATTGATCACACAAAAAGGAGTGCAGACACATGTTCACAGATGCTCATATGGCTCCTTTGTTGGTCTTGTTTGTACATTGAAAACTGGAGACACCTAAATGCCCATCATTAGCTGGTGCGTTTGTGCAGTGGAATGCCATGGTGCCTTTCACTGTGATGACACACATACATGTTCATTGCCATGGACACACGAAAATGATAAACAGAAAAATGTTTTGCTAGGTATATCTGTTTGTAGATACGCCATAGACTTATCTGCTCACGGAAAGAGTGGAATTTCAGCCGACTTTATTTATACTTTCAATACTACTTCAGTTTTCTAGAATGAGCTCATACCACTTTCAGTAGGAAAAAAATCAAAGCTATGTTGATCACGTACTGAAAGACATTGTGCTAAGTGTTATGGGGAACAGGGTAATCCTTGTTTGTGATGCTTACTCTCTGGGGTTAAGGTGGGGACAGAGAAGGAACACAGATGGCTCTGACCAAGGCCAGTGCTCTGAGACCATCGCTGAGGGCCGGGGAGGGCTTTGAAGGGTGTGGCAGACCCTAGCTGCCAGGTGACAGGAATCTCCTTCGGGGGGAAGGGGACAGGGGGAGCACAGGCATAGCGGTGAATGTTGGATGAGTGTCCAGTGCTGCACTTTGCAAAGAGCTCAGTGTTTATGGGTGAGTGTGGGCTAAAACTGGAGGGTCTGGCTGGTGTCACGTGACAGTGCCTTGAACCCAGGGTGAGACTTCAGGCTGATCTGGAAAGCTGTGGCTAGGACCCACATGATAAGGACTGATATTCAGGATGATAAATAGCTAGTGGAGTGTTGTAGTATTTGAAACAGGGAGATCACGGTGCTGGGAGAATTGCTTTTGTGTCAGGTGATGAGGTGTCTTCCAGGGGAAGGCATGAAAAATGGAAAGAAGGTTCCAGTAGACTCTGTGATGATGTAGGCTTTTAGATGACCACTAAGGAAAACCAGTGAAAAGTCAAAGATGGCTTATGTTTCAAGCTTGTTATATGGAGGACAGTGAGATGTGCCTTTAACAAAAATGAGAAGGCCCAGTGAGTGTGGGTGTTTGGCTTTGATTCTTCATCTGAAGAGGGTATTGTGAATTAAATTTTAACGTGCTGAGTATGAGGTAAAGCTAATGAAAGTCGGGCTGACCGAGTGGCGTGTTGGTTAGGAGTTGGCTTGGGTTGCCAGCTCTGGGCAGCAGGACCCCGGTTCGGATCCCACATGAGGGCCAGTGACGCTGTGCCCTCTGCATTTAGGATGGTGAACGACAGCTCAACCTGGAGCTGGGCTGTCGTGAGTTGCCGGCGACAAGCATAGGCTGCAATGGGGCTGGCCGACAGCGGGTGTGAGCTTTCATGAGGTGCCGTGAGTCGCCGGCGACGGTGTGGGCTGCAGTGGGGCTGGCCGGCAGCTGGCGGGCACTTTCATGAGCTGCCGTGAGCCGCCATGAGCGGCCGTCCAATGGCCGGTGAGCGACTGCCTCTCCCGGGAAGAGCGCAGTGATCACAATACCAACATGGGCCAGTGAAGTGACGTCCTCCACAACTAGACTGAAGAACAAAAGAACTGCAACTTGTCTGTTCTCCTTCCCCGATTCCCCAATGCTGTTTCCCTCCCCCAATTCCCCAATAAAATCTTTAAAAAAGAAAAAAAGCTAACAAAAGAACAGACTCTTGTGTGTCAGACAGTAGGGATCTGGGAGATAACCCACGACTGTGGGAGAGCCCTGGGGACTGGGCTGTGGCAGCAGTGGATCCAGATCACCGTCCCATTCAGGTCAGAGTGGAGCCTCACACGGAGCTGTCCAGAGCAGGGCTTGACAGACTACTGGCCACCTGGTTTTATAACGTTTTATGGGAACATTTACATGTCATCTCTGGCTGCTTTCTCTCTTCAGCAGCACATAGGAATAGCTGCGACAGACCACGTGCTTGGTGAACCTGAATTGTTTACTCTCTGGTCCTTCAAGAGAAAGACTTCAGACCCCTGGAAATGAGAGGATTAGTTGAAGCTGTCACCAAACCAAACAGCCAACTGGAATGCTGTGTGACTGAGTGGGCTTCAGGCAGTGGGTGTCAGCAGGCCTGGGGCAGACAGGAAGGGCGGGCCTCAGGGTAAAGCAGAAAAAAAGATGTCACCTGAGCACACAACCCATCTGGAATCAGTGTCCGGTAATGGTTTGAACAAGGGTTAGCAGAAAGAGCTGGGGCTAGAGACACACACAGGAGTGCCTGAAGTGATGAGTGTGTAGCAAGAAAGAGAAGCTATGAGAACTGGGTCAAGGGCGGGCATCTGGGAGGTGGCTTTCATTGGCTCTACAGAGACAGATGAACTAATGAAGGACAGAGGCCAAAAAGCAGGGAGTAGAAACTTCTTTAGAGGCTAGGTATCTTTTGGCTAGCTGAGCCTTGAGGATTTTGGATGTCTAGCGCTTGGAGGGATAGAAATCATATCCGGTTTAACATGCTCAATGCATTATCTTTAAGAGAGAGATGTTTGTGGTTGAATATATAATACCATGTGTATTTTGTTTTTGAATTCAGATGATGGAGCAGCTACATCCCCTGACCTGGGGGACATGTCTCCTGAGGGGCCGCAGCCCCCCATGATCCTCCTGCAGCAGTTGCTGGCCTCGGCTACCCAGCCGTCTCCAGTCAAGGCCATATTTGACAAACAGGAGCTTGAGGTATAGTCGGCATCCTTGGCAGTTATAGTCCGGCACACAATTTGTTGTGAACCGCCTTTTTTCTAGATGTATATTTTCTTAAGGATATATTCTGAATTTTAAATGACATATAAAAAAATCCTGTTTGTCATAGAACATCATAATACTAGTTAGAGAACGAAGGGGTTGAAGTTTAGCCTGATTTTGAATTTGTATGCATTATTTGCAAAAGTTGACTAGATTCAGCATGGGTTAAACACTCAAATATTCATGAGGATATTTTTCCAGGAAATATTGCCATTGAAAGACCTAATTAGGCCTAAGAGTGTTGCGCTGGCCTGTTTGTTTCACCCAATCCATTCCTTTGTGGGACATGCGGTGTAGCCGCCAGGCTCTGGGCCCTCACCCTGGTGTGCTGCCCCAGCAGCATGTGGGCGGGGCTGAGGGTGGGGCTGAGGCCCATGGAAGAGATGACATTTGACCCAGTCTGAGGGCCATGGGAACTTTTCAAGGCCTGAGACATGGAGGACTAGATATCCTTCTTGCCTTATAATACATAAAAAATTCTGGAGGAAAAAGTCAGACAAAAACAAAACCTTGAGCTATGAGTTTGGCAGGCAGGAAGTCCTCTAATAGAAATCCTCAGGGGAGCAGGGGTTCAGAGTGAGCAGGCCTCTGGCCAGCTGATGGAATGACTGACAGTTATCCCTGAATGAGATGGTGGGGAGCAAAGGGAAAAGGCAAGACATGGCAGCGTGGGGTGGGGAGGGAGGAGGGCCTGAGTGCCAGCTGCTTGTTGGGTCTGGAAACCTAAGGTGACAGGTCAGTTTAAAGTAGTCGCAGCATGGCCCTTCCTCCAATCACCTGTAGAGAGAAAAAGGTGACACTGAGCATAGGACGACGTTGGGCAACCCAGAATCATGCTCGGAGGTGCCCAGTGTTAAAAGGACAGATGGAGAAGAAAACAAGGAAACAGTTGTCCTTTAGGGATGGGAAGGGCTGTTGTACCGAAGAGATATCTTCCATTGTTTTGTGTCCATTGATCCTGATGGAAATTGAACCAGCATCCTTACTGTCCTGGATGAAGTATCTTTCTTCTCTGGCTGCATTTACAATAGTACTTACTATTTTTCTTTGGTTTTCTGCAATTTGACTGAGATGTGCCTATGTGTGTTTTCAACCCTCCATGTGGTGCGCTTAGGTTATTTATGCCTCTGGCTTGATTCCCCCACCTCCCATCAAATTAGGAAGCCTTATGTTTTTTCCTGTCCTGTGCTTTTTCCACAAGTGATTGTTAGTGAGTTTGTTTATTTTTTAAGTCTTTTTCTCTTGGTTTAATCAGCTTGGTTTATTTTATTGATATGTTTTTAGGGTCAGTGTTGTGCTTTATTGGGTCTAATCTATAAGCCATCCAAGAAATTACTTATTTTATATTTTCAGATCTCATTTCCATTAGGTTCTTATAGTTTTATAGCTCTCCTTACAGTTTCCATCTCTTCACCCTTTATACTTTTACTGTACATTTGTAAATATATTTCTGATAGTTCTGTTAAATTTCTTGTTTGCTAGTTCTAACGCCTAGGCCACCTGTTGGTCTGCTACTGTTGGCGATTTTTTCTCTTGATTATAGTCAGTTATTGGTTCTTCACATCTCTAATGATTTTTATAGTATTCCATGTTTTGGATGTTACATTGTATCTGGGTTCTGTCAGCTTGCTCTGGAGAATGTGAGATTTCATCCTTGCAGACAGTTTAGTACTTGGCATTTCTCCTCAGTCCTGTGGAAGTTTGGTTCTAGACCCTTATGCCCTTCGTCTCAGTTCCTGGTCTCTAATGCTGTGGGGTTTAGGATCTCTTCTGGGGTTTTAGTGAGACCTCTGTATCTTGATCAACTTCCTCTAATGTGGTTGGACTTGGATCACAAACTGTCTGCCCTACACTAGCTGTAGACTTTCCTCTAGGTTTTTAGCTGTTCCTTCATGCTGCGTTCCTCAGAATCTCACACATGCTCAGCCGTGGAATCAGCTTCGGGTTTGAGGGTAATCTGTGTGCACATTTTGTGGTTTCTCTCTTGCTTCTAATTGCTCTGGTAGGCCATCCAGTCTCTCACTGCAGCCAGTAAAACTGCCTGTTAGCAGCTTGCCTGCTGAGTTTCCTTTTGGTCAAGGGTTGTCCCTGCTCAGTTTTGATTGCTTTGGCTGTTCTCCTGGGCTATCAAACAGTTTTAAAAATCTTTTGTCCATAGTTCATAATTATCAAGCAGATGCTTAGGCTAGTACAGCCTGAATCCCCATACCAGAACCAGAACTCCTCGCTCAATCTGATTCTGAAATGTGAGCTGTTAGGATGAAGCCTGTCACTTCCAAGTTATTCAGACTTCACAGCAAAACCCTAGGCTTTCCACACCTCCTAAGCACCGGAACTTCAACAGACCTGTTTCTTCCTAATTCCTCTGTCACATGCTCAGTTCAAACAGGAAGTCCTAGGGCCCATGGGAGCATCTGCAGATGAGGCCAGCGTTGCAAATGGATCAGAGAAGACCGCAGCCACATTCATTGACTCATTGCAGTTGCCTATATTCTGGTTCCCTTATCTTGCACCATGTTTAACCCACAGAGTTGACTGGGTGGCCATGTCTGCGTTGTCCCTGGCTTGTCTGAGGGAACAGAGCAGGACAATGGTCATGGGGAGGGGTCTGCATGTGCCAGGCAGGAGGTGATGGTACATTGGATCTTTCCTCTGTGTTAAACTATGAAAGCAGTCTTTGTCAACTTTGACACGTTTTATCCATTCACTAACACACACACCCGCCCCCGAGCATCGCCATTCCTGCACCAGGGCCCTTCCACGTTTTGAGTTTTCTAGGCCTGCTCTGGACTGGGCCTTTCTGGCTCTTGCAACCCACCCTGCGGATCCTCGTGGTTGCTGCCTCCTTCAGTCATGTGTGTGGGTGTCGGGAGCGTGGCTTGACCCTCAGACCACGGGCTACAGGATCTAGTGCAGAGTAGTCCCTCGTGCCTGTGCAAGAGGTGACTTGATTCCCTCCCGGGTGGGAACCCAAGCCTTGGACTTCGGTTCTGGGACCACACTCCCCACGCCACCCTCCTTCTCTAACCCTGGTGAGGTCAAGCAACCACCACAACAGATAGACCTTTAGGTTACCATTCCGAATGCTGGTTAGAAAGGAGGCTAGCCTTCAGCAAAGTGGTATAATAACTCTTGGGAAGGCAGGTGAAGAGACAGGCTGCCTGGGTTCAAACCCCGACTCTACCTAGGTGACCTTAGGCCTAAGATTCCTCATCTATAAATGTGTTTTAAATGTGCAAATCGATGTAAATCAGCTGTACTACAACAGTGCCTGGCATGTAGTAAGCATTATATGTGTAAAGTGTTATTATTCCAAATACCTTACTGGACAAACAGGTTATCAATATTATGCTTGAAATCATCTTTCTGATATTGTTAACATGATTACAAGATGTGCCCTCCCCTCTTAATTACCAAGAAGTCTTCTCTCCTTTGCCTGAATATTTCACCTTCCTTCCTAATTTCCTGACCAAAAGGCATTGTTCCAGAGGAGGGGTGTCCTGGTAGTGCTTACATATAAAAGAAAGCCTAACTGAAGTGCAGTTGTCACTCCACATTTGGTTAGTGATGGCTCTCCCGGTATTTCCTTCCTTTGTACAGATTTTTCAATAAATGAAAAAGCCCCACTTTTGTTAATTGGACAAAAATAACCCTTTAGATAGTTCATCAAAAAGAGAGTTTATTTGGGAAAATAGAAAATCACCACAGCAGTGTGGTAACATGCACCTTCCAGCCGGCTGTTCATGTGCAAAAGACAGTGCTCTCTCAAGATGGCTCGCCTGTACACCCTCCCCGCAGGAAGTTAGAACCATCAAGTTTAACAGGAAGCTGGGACTAGAGAGTAACAGGAAGCCAAACTTCAGCTATAGACCCGCCCTTAACTCCCTGGTCCATTTCCTAGAAGTACCAGTTCACTTTTATCACTTTGAGAAAAATAAAAGCAGAACCGCACATGTAAGTCTGGGTTTTCTGTACTTCTGCACTGCAGTTCCTAGCAGACATCTATAATTTGTACATTCTTAGATTTGCATAAGTCACCTGACCGGCAGCCTCCTGTTCCGCCCTCAATTTGCCCAGGCTGCCGCTCTAGCCGTGTGTCAGTGTCTGGCTGTGGAGTCCACCCGCCCGTCGAGCCCCGCCTTTGAAGACTGCGGCTGTAGTGAGGCCATGGCGCCTGCGCCTGCGCAGCATGTGCGCCCCTTCCGAGCAAAGAAGCGCAGGCAGCCGCCCACCCCTGCCCAGCCGGTGGTGGCTCAGCTCATGGAAATGGGGTTTCCCAGGAGGAGCATCGAGTCTGCGCTGACGTCGCTCACTGGTGCCTCTGGGAATGCTGCTGGCTTGCCAGGTATTGTGGTGTCCGTGTGGGCGTGCCATGCAGTGTGCCCGTTTATAGGTTTCCCTGCAAGGCTAGTGCCAGGCCACGTGTCCTCACCGTGGGTGCTGTATGTGCTTGCTCACAGGCGTGGAGGCCTTGGTGGGGTGGCTGCTGGACCACGCTGATGTGCAAGTCACAGATCTCTCGGACGCAGACACAGGGTCTGAGGAGTGTTCCGATGAGGACATGGTGGAGGACGTGGACGACATGGCCTACGCTGTGGTCAGTGCTGCCTGCGCTGTCCCTCTTCCTGTACCCCCTGCCCTGTACTCACTCCATTGGTGCCTCTGCAGTTCTAGGCACCCCAGGAAGAATGCTCAGTGCTGACTGGGTCTTTTGTGCGTCAGTTACCTTTAGTATAAAACAGACCCTTGTTCCAGCATCGCATGATGTTGGGAAGGCACTAGAAGACTCTTAAAAAGTCATGTCTCATATGACATGTTGACTTCTGATTCAAGTAAATTCTTTCACGGGATTCATTGGCAAATGCCTCAGAAATTTTTGATACTTTTAGCTTCTGAGATTTATCCGGCTTATTGTATAATTGTTAATCATTTGTAAGTGAAGAATTTTATAGGGAAAATATGGTATTTCATACTTTATTTCTGATATAGATTTCACACACTTTTTTCTTTTTAAATACATTTATCTGGTTCACCATTTTAAAAAATGTATTTACTCTTTTGTAGTCTACTGGTGCTGTTGTAACAGAGAGCCAGACTTACAAAAAACGAGCTGATTTCTTGAGTAATGATGATTACGCCGTGTACGTGAGAGAGAACGTTCAGGTGAGGATTGCCTGAGGCTGGAGCCTCGCTCAGGTTCTCATTCAGCAAATGTTTGAGCATCTCGGAAAGTCAGCGGCTTGGCGAAGTTGGCACAGCACCCAGCAGGGTGGCCACTGTGGCTGTAGCTGAGGGTGTGCGGGGGTGGGGCAGGGCCAGAGAGCAGCAGATGGCTTGCCCATAGCGACACGGCACAGACCTGTGCTCGGTTATCCCCATTAGAGACACTTTTAAAAACCTATATTTGCTTGCTCTTCTTACATCATTCTCATTGCCATCTAATTTATAAAATCCAGTTATGCTTTTTACGTAGTCCTTAAATCTTTTCTTTTCTTGTGTTACTTGTTTTGTTCTAGTTAGTTTACTCCAGAGGAAAAGTCCCAGAAATCACCTTATTTCACCTGTAAATATGTCAGTATGTATCCCTGATAGAGGAAGGATTTTATTTTTAACATAATGTTACTGTTATCTCATGTCACTTAACAAAAGAAACAGTAATTCCTAATATCATCTTACGTCCAGTACTTGCTCAGATTTTCCCAAAAATGGTGTTTTACAGTAATTAAAAAAAATTCAGGGACAACCAAGATCATACACCTTACACCAGGTGATATGTCTCTGAAGTGTCTTATAACCTGGGATTAGTTTCCCCCCCCTTTCTTCCTTTTCCTGCCATTCATCTGTGGCTGGAACTGTTGGCCCACTTCTCCCTCCCTTATCTGTGTGTCACGTGCACTTGGGGGGAGGTGTGGAGGTGCCTGGACTTGGGCAGGAGGACATCACATGGACCGGCACGTGGTGTCACCTGGGGAGGTCTTGTCAGCCTGTTCTGTCTGTTCAGAAGTTCTCTGCTGACCTCCATCTTGGCATTTCTGTTGCCATTAGCACCATCACCTGGACCCATTGTCGGAGCTCTGCTCTTTGAAGAAAACTTTCTTATCAACTCTGGTTACTCTTTGTAATACAGTTTATGTAGGAAACGCAGAATTAATGCTTGGGTTTTTTGTTTTGCTTTGTGCTCTGTCAGCTTTCAGAGTGGTGAATTGAGGCCCTGGTACTTACAGAGGTGACCAGGAACCTTTGTTTTGCTGATTATCATTATGATGACTTTATCTGCTGTTACGGATTCAGTGTATTTTGGTCATCACCCCTCTTGATCAGGTTGCTCTTTTCAGAAGCCCCTTCTAGCTCCCTCACTTTATGGCACAAGCTGATCCAGGTCCACCTCATATATATCCTGCCTCAGACAGCGAGTCAGCCAGCTTTCTAAGAGCCTGGTTCCCTTTAGTGACTTTGAGAGCGCACTCTGGGTGCTAGAGGAAATCCTTTTTTAGCAGTGGATAATGCTACTTACAATTGTTTATTCGTCTATTGTATACACTGGGCTGGATTTTTAACTTCATTTTAATTCGAGGTGGGAATGATGGTGAGATGCTGCCGAACGTATGAAGAAGTGTGTGAAGGAGACGTGGGCAAAGTGATCAAACTGGATAGAGATGGATTACATGACCTCAACGTGCAGTGCGACTGGCAGCAGAAAGGAGGTACTTACTGGGTCAGGTACATTCACGTGGAACTTATAGGTGAGTGCATCCTTCCTTAAGTCCTTTGCCTCTTTCTTAATCAGAGAGAGTCCCCGGAAGTGTGTGCTGATTACTGTTCATTTATCCCTGGAACCTTTAGGCTACCCTCCACCGAGTTCTCCTTCTCACATCAAGATTGGTGATAAAGTTCGCGTCAAAGCCTCAGTTACCACCCCAAAATACAAGTGGGGGTCCGTGACTCATCAGAGCGTGGGGGTTGTGAAAGGTAACCTTACCTAGGAAATAACATTCCAGATGTTCGCTTCTCATCAACTAATGTAAACTCACTATGTTTTTCACTCAAGGGCAAGAAAAAAAAGTGGGAAGAAAGCCTCATGGTATATAAATTGTGCTCTTTTGCTTGTCAGTGCTCTGGACAGGGACACACCTGTCGTTGAAGAGTCAGGTTCATTAACTCATTGTAACTGGGGAGGACACATACCCTGGAAAACGGACATGTCATAGGCGGGTGTCACAAGGGCTGATGGGGTTTGTGCTGGATATTGTGGGAAGGGTTCAAGAAAGTGAGTAATTCTGAGAATGGGCATCTTAATAAATATTATCTGGAGGGCAGAAAGAATGGAGCCAAGATGAAGCTGTGATTGGCAAGGAAACGTGTGCATGTTAGTCGGGACGGGGGTGACTGGTTTTTGTGGTTTGGATTGACTTGAACTTGATCAGATGTGCCAAAGAGGGGCTTCGTTTTTAGGTCTTGATCTGTCAGTCACAGGGTGGTCTGTCTGATGTTTTGTCAGACGTTGAACCTGACAGCCTGTGTGTGAGTGTGGTCAGAGAGAGGTTGCTTTTCTCTTTTTTTAGCTGTATAAAAATTTAGGACTAAATTTAAGAAGTGGAAATGTGCAAATGATGGGAGTTAGAAACTGGAAACACAAAACTCTCCGTAGTTTATATTTAATGTGATATTAGTGAGATTTCAGATCAAACAAATGATGTATTTTAAAAGGTATAGTATGACCATTTTAACAATTGCATGAGACATAATTAAATATGCATGTGGTTTAATTTTATCTTTAAACTCTTTCAGTGTCAAACAGAGATCCTGTTCTGATTTGCTTGAGCCGTGTAGGAATTGCTGCTCCTGCCCAGCAGCTGACATGGGAAACGGGCACAGTGATGATACTGCCTTGTTTCACAGAAGAACAAATGGCTTACTTAACATTTCACTTTAGTTTAACTTTTTCTTTATTTCAGAGATTCTTAAAAGCTTTACAAATCAAAACAAAGATAAATTTTAGAGGTTAATGTTTTGAGTAGCAGAGTGCTCTCACCAAAGGGCAAGAGACTTTTAACATTGTGAATGGTTTTTATTCCCTAAGTTACTGAATACAGTGTTTTCACCTGGTGTCATTAAAAACAAACCAACTTTCTTATTGTGGAAAATTTTCAAACACACAGAAGTAGAGAATAGAGTATGATGAGCCTCCCTCCACACCTGCGTCAACAGTGGCCACCTCCTGGCCAAGTTGCCCCCTGTCCCCTGCCTGCATTATTCTGAGGCTGATCCCTGACTGGCATCACATGCTGGTTCATCCAGAAGGATCTTAGTTTGTCTCTAAAAGAGACCTGATATGATGTGGCTGGGCACAGTTTAAATTTCACTTTCGGGTTTTTATTGGTGAGGACAATGGTTCAGGCAGCCTCTGTTCTGTCTTAGCTTTCAGTGCCAATGGGAAAGATGTCATCGTCGACTTCCCTCAGCAGTCCCACTGGACTGGGCTGCTGGCAGAGATGGAGCTGGTGCCTAGTGTCCATCCTGGCGTCACGTGAGTTCTATTTTTATGCTGCTGGGCTTGTCAGGGAGAAGTGCTTGTCTTTGGAATGACGTTTAATAGGTGACCTCATCCTTTTCTTATCGGCTCAATGGCTGTTTTAAAAATAGGTGCGATGGCTGTCAGATGTTTCCTATCAACGGGTCTAGATTCAAATGCAGAAACTGTGATGACTTTGACTTTTGTGAAACATGTTTCAAGACCAGAAAACACAACAGCAGGCATACGTTTGGCAGGATCAATGAGCCAGGTATGGGAGAACAGTTATGTCCTCAATGAGGTAATTAGTGTGGACACTAAGGCATTCACCACCTTGACCTCCTCACCTGCCTCACCTTGTTGTTCTGGGGCCAGGGGCAGGGGGGGTGTAGATGAATTTTCAGATTTGCCGTTAGTGGAAGTAGGAAGTCTTTACAGATTTGTTTTTGCAAAAGCATTTTTAATAAGAATGTTTTCCGTAGGCACTGTTACTGCACTTCCCCCAGCTTAACTTAGGCTTCCACCTGGAAATACATCACTGTGATATTGCCCGAGAGAGTCACATGGGATAAATCTTTGCACAATTTATTATGAGAATAAATTGGTGTAAAATAACTTGAGTCGGTTTGTTGAAGCCATTTTAGGTATTTACTGTCTTACTTTAATATGAAAACGTACTATTTTCGTGAAGAAAGGAGCTCGTCACTGGGTGATATTCTTTATTTTGTGAGGGCGCTGCCCTACAGCACTAACTCTGTTTGACCGCTGTTACAGGACAGTCTGCCATCTTTTGTGGCCGTTCTGGAAAACAGCTGAAGCGCTGTCACAGCAGTCAGCCTGGGATGCTGCTGGACAGCTGGTCCCGGATGGTGAAGAACCTGAATGTGTCGTCCTCCGTGAACCAGGCTTCTCGGCTCATTGACGGCAGTGAGCCCTGTTGGCAGTCGTCTGGCTCCCAGGGGAAGGTAGTGTGATATGGGGGCACCTCCAGAAATACGTCATCCATATGGCTTTACCTCTCAGAGCTTCCAAGTGAACTTTGAAAACCTACTAGATTATGCTGCGATGGCAGCTGCCAGGATTCATTTTATATATTCTAGCTCATACTTATTTAAAATATACTGTCTAATTTTCATTGTTAGAGATTTTAAACATAAGTAGCATTTTATCTAACTGACCAATAGTAGAGGGTGTGATAGGGTTGTGCTTTTTTTTTTATTTTCCACGTGAAATATACGAGTTCAGAGTCTACTCTGGTTAGACGTTTTTGTGTCACATTCTAGCAAACACGTTGGCCTTTGGAATGCGGTTACACTCGCACTTACGTGTGGGTGATGCCCTGTGGACATGCAGGTCAGACTTGGAGTAAGGGGCTTCTCCCTCTCGATTCATGTTTTCTGTAACCCACTCTTGGGTGGGCATGAAGGGACCATCCTAAACCAGGAGTCTAAACACATTCTTTCTTGGGCTTAGAGTGGGACTTACTCCTAAGGAGCTAGTAATGGGGCCAGGTATTCTGGTTTCTGCCAGCTTAACCACAAATTCTCTTTCAGGCCACATTACGTATTTTAACAATGTCCTGTAGATTTGCGCTTTCGTGATACTGTTTAAGTAGCTGAATTTTTACTAACCGTGAGTGCATTTTTTTAAAGCATTGGATTCGCTTGGAGATGTTCCCAGATGTCCTTGTTTATAGATTAAAAATGATAGTTGACCCTGCTGACAGCAGCTACATGCCGTCCCTGGTCGTGGTGTCAGGTAACTATTCATTCAGAAAAGATCTATCACGTAATAAAAACTCCTTTGTCTGATTCCTTGACCCCTCTTCTTCTTCTAGGTGGAAATTCCCTAAATAACTTAATCGAACTAAAGACAATCAATATTAACCCCACTGATACCACGGTGCCGCTTCTGAACGACTGCACAGAGGTAAGTGGTGTGAATGCATTCCTTTTTGATGGTTTGCAGATGACAATGACCTTTCTGACCATTTCTGTACTAATATTTAACCCATTTCTCCCCTTAATTAATTCTGTTTATTTTAAAATTTGTCATGTACACAACTTGAATTTACTGCTTATCAGATTAGCTTGAAAGGGAAACAGAATACATTCCCACTTAGGTAAGAAGCATGGTAAATGCCCCAGCAGAGGCTGCCAGCATGGCAGGCTGCTCTTTGCATCTGGCACAGGGGTGTTTTCATTAAGTGTCTATTAGTGTGCAACGATTTTTCTGACCACTCACACTGAAGTTGCGTTTTGTCAGCACATTTGGCATGAGGTGCTGACCGTGTCCTGAGGTGCTGAGTATCAATTTGTTTCAGTTGGTACAAAGGTAATTTTCACAATACATCCAAGTTCATTGTATCTTGAAAATTCTGCTGAGAGAATCAGTGAAGGTTCTTTTAAAGAGTACCCCTATACCGTGGAGAAGTGAGACTCTCAACTCTTTCCACACAGATGTCAACACTATTTTAATAAATATTTTTAAAATAATACAAATTAAGATAGTTTTTTGTGCTACCTGCACTATTGTCACATGAGGACACTTACTTAAGTGGTACAATGAGGGTGGATAAAGCTATCAAATAATTGATCTTTTATTCATCTAATGCTTGTTGTAAGTGAGCTTACTTTTAAACTATTAAATGTAATTCACCATTCGTGATTTTTATTTATTTATTTTGGTCTCCCCACATAAGGGCAGACAAGTTCAAGGTGATCCCAGTGTGTTACTTAAAAGAGGCTGATTCCCAGCCTTAGGTTAATTTATTCAAGGGTGGAAGGTTAATAACTTGTATCCAGAGTCTCTGGGGTATACCAACTCCTTCCCCAAAGTCCCTGATTTGATGGTCCAGCCTGGCATACACCAGAGGTTTTATTTTGTTTATTTTCTTCCGATCTTCATAGATGGAATTGTGGGACACCACTCATTTATTTTTGAATGTCATTGCACTATGTTGTGATATAGTGATTGATTAATTAATAATCAGTACCAGTGGTATGAATAAATGACTACACTGGCAAATTATTAAAATGAAAGATAATATTGAGCTTTTCTGAAAAAGGATATTATTGAATTTTAGTGCATTTTATTGTTAACTTATTGCCAGGTAAATGAATATCACTTATTTAATGTTTTAACTATACTCCTGAATATTTTTGCATTTTAAGTAAACCATTAGCTACAGAGTTAATTCAATCAGTAACCAAGATTAGTATTCATAAAAGGTGTGTTAACTGGAATCCAATAGATTTTCCATTCAAAACAATTTATTGTGTAGTATTTGATGAGAACAAAACAGTGCATGTCATCTATATGAGAAATTTGAAGCATTGAGAGTCATCAGAACTCATGAGCCACTCACTCTTCGTCCCTCCCCCCAACTCAACAACTAGGGTGTTCCAGACCTGAGACGGGACTGGACCCTCTGGAATTACCTTTCCTGTAAAAATGGCTCATTACGGAGATATTCTATCCTACCAAATACAGAAAATATGCCAAATCCCCCGTGAACCCACACTAGCTCCAACAGTTACCAGCTTTTTTGCAAATCATGTTTTACTATCTACCCCCCCCACCCGATTTTTTTTCTCCTAAAGTGTTCAAAAACAAGTTCTAGACGTGAACTTATGTCAATAGCGTGTACTTCAATATTCATCTCTAATTAGGACTGAAAAATGTACCTGCAGCACCATTAGCACACCTATTATCCGTTAATATCATGTGAAGCAGGGACGGGGTGCTCTGAAGCCCAGTGTAGGATGTGGGCATTGCAGGACAGAGACCCAGCTTTCACAGACGACAACAAAGGTAGCAAGAGGCTGCGTCTTGCTTGGGTCCCGTTTCAACAAGCCAGCAGTAGAAAGGTGTTCATGAGACAGCCAGAAAATTTGATCACGGCAGGCACGTTAGATGATACAAGGAATTGCTGTCTTAGCTGTGGTGGTAGCGATGTGGATATATTATTAAATGCCCTTATTTCAATGGCACGTACTAAAGTTTTCAAACAACATGCTGCCTGGAACTTTCTTATGATAATCCAGATGTGAGCAAAGCGGTCCTGCGTTGATAATTGTTCAACTAGGTGATGGGGTCACAGGGCTCTTTGTACTATTTTCTCTTATTTGTATGTATTCAGATACTTTTATTATGTTTTAACAATTATGGAGGCTGTGTGAACTATCTGACATTTAACTTCTTCCTTAATACATCTTGGTTCAAGAAAGCTTTCAGACAAAGGTTCATAGTCATTCCATAAGGCTGTCTAGTATTTCATTTCTCTAAGCAAACCGATGTCCTGTGCCTTGTGAACTGACAGTGCCTGACTCGCAGCAAATGGCTCAGTCCTCATCCCAGCCGTCCTGCCCACACTTACGGCGCCTCGTGTGCTCTGGCCCACACAGCCTGCAGCTCACTATTTCTGTGTCCAGTACCATAGGTTCGTTGAAATTGCGATAAAGCAGTGCCGGAGCTCGGGGATTGACTGTAAAATCCATGGTCTCGTCCTTCTGGGACGGATCCGTGCTGAGGAGGAGGACGTGGCTGCCGTTCCTTTTTTAGCTTCTGACAACGAAGAGGAGGAAGACGAGAAAGGCAGCAATGGGAGGTGAGAGCCATGTGTTTTTGCTGGTGCTCGTTCCAAAAATCTGACTTTCAGAAGTAAATATTTAATTAGACTGCGTCTCATAATGAGAGTTGTTTTGGACTCACAGGAATGTTTGGTAAATTTTAGTTGCGTTTTCAAAAATTATAACTTAAGTGACTTAACTTTAGGGAAATGTTTTCTGTCAAAATGCATTGTATTTAGAAAAATATCATTAAAAAAGGGAAATAAAAATATTTAATTTTTCTACCTGAAATACTACGGTTAATATTTTGGTATATATCCTTATAGTTTTCTTTTTGACATGTCCCTAATTGTGTTTTCCTTTGGAAATGGTATATGTTTTAAGGTCTTTTTTGCCGAGTATTATATTGCTTGCTTTTTTTTTTTTTAAAGATTTTTATTGGGGAATTGGGGGGATGGGAACAGTGCTGGGGAATTGGGGAAAGGGGAACAGACAAGTTGCTGTCGTTTTGTTCTTCAATCTAGTTGTGGAGGACGTTGCTTCACTGGCCCAAGTTGGCACCATCATTGCGCTCTTCTCTGGCGAGGCAGATCAGTCGCCGGCCTCTGGACGGCCGCTCGCTGCGGCTGCTGGCCGCTCACGCTGGCTGCTGGCCACACACGGTAGCCCATGGCAATCCACTGCCACAGGGACTGCAGCCCACGCCGTCGCCGGCGACTCATGGCAGCCCAGCTCCAGGTTGAGCTGTTGTTCAGCATCTTAGCTGTGGAGGGCAGTGTCACTGGCCCTCACATGTGGGATCCGAACCGGGGCCCTCTGGCGTCCCAAGCGATTTCTCAACCATCGCGCCACTCGGCCGGCCCTATATTGCTTGCTTTTAAATGTAAAGAATTTATTGGATTGTTGGAAAAGTCTTGACGTATTTTTGCAACGAAAAACATAGAAAAAATATGTCATGACTTTTCCGACAACCCAATATTATGATAAAATATACATAACATAAAAAAAATAAAATATACCTTCGCAACTATTTTTAAGTGTGCAGTTCAGTAGCATTAAGTACACTCAAATCACTCAGATAAGTTGTATTTTCCTATTAAGTTGCCAAAAATGAAATTGCTACGTGAAAAGCTATGAAATCAGTTGACTGTTATGCTGCATTGCCAGTGTAGCTGGGTCCCCGATGCTTGCACAGAGAGTTCCAGTGCTGGCTGAGCTCTGCTGGCCACTGTCCCCTGCCCTGGGCACTTTCTGTGTGTGATGTACTAGTCCACACTCCATTAGGCCATTCTCTTGGTCATGAAGGGTGGCAACTATGGTGATAAATGAGGTCATTCTCAGGTTCTGAGATTGTGGGTTTGGACTCTGTCCTGTTTTATTTTGGAAAATTGCACAGAAGTTGAAAAGAGAATAGTATGGATAATGCTGCTTTATCCAGAATCTAGTTATACTATGTGATGTAGTTCAAACCGATGGTGTCTGCATACATCACATTAAGGAAAATGCCAGTTCACTTAAATAAGTCACTGGGGTTTTTCAGAGAAAGGATTATAGATTGGCATTTTCTTATTCAATAGCTACTAAAATGAATTGGCCAAAAATAATTAGTACATGTACTACTGTATATATGAAATAACCAAAAAAGTTTGAGCTTTATTCGTTGATGAAATTTTTGCATAATTGAATACAGTAACAAAAGACATTCTGGATATCCGAATGCAATGGGGTTTTTCCTGTTAGACATCATTAATTAGTTAATAACTCCCAGGGGAGTGAGTGGTCCAGGCAGTCTCTCACAGGGCAGGCCCGGCCGGGGTGTGCCCACACCGACCGCCCACTGGCTCCATTCCCACTGGGGTTCCTTAACTGGTAACAGTCCTTACACATCCTGGATATCACTACTGATGTCCTCTGCATGTTTTAGGCTAAACATATGTTACGAGGTAGTTCAATAACTACTGTGTGCATGTGCTTGCTCTCCTGTGTCTGGTATGAGTTGAAAGAGCTTCCCTACATTTTTGTCCCCAAACCATGATATTTTGATCCCTTAAAGTCAATATTCATTAGTATATAACATGTTTTAAGGAACCTTACCTGTCCGGAACCTAGTCTCTGGAGCCTTCAGTTATCCATTGTAACTTATAAAAACAGAGCAAAGCACACAAAAGTCAAAGCCTCAAGCACAGAAGAAGCAGTCGCTTAGCCTCGGCATCACACTGTCAACCAAGAAAATTTAACAGTGAAGTTTAACTCACCAAGTTTAAGAATGGGAGTGCTTTGTTGATTAAACTTGCCACCCACTGAGGGCAGGCTGGAGATGAACGAGCAAGGTGGCCAGTGCCAGCTGCTAGCCCCGGGGTATGGGCAGGCCTCCCGGGAGAGAAGGGATGTGGGGACCTCCAGCCCAGCTGACCAGTGTGGCGGGCAGACGGTGTAAAGAAAGAAAGGCATTTTGCTTTGGGATGTGTGTCTGTGTTAGAGTGCCTCAGAGGTCGCACAGTGACATCTACTTTATTATTCCTTTGGGGAAAAATGACGAAACACGTGTCTAGCTTTAGTGACACTGTGCCAGAGCCAGTCCTAGTGGTGGCTCCAGGCCATTTAGCCAATGTTTTCTCCAGTCATGTCTGTCCGTAGCTGTGTGTCATGGTGATGGGCGCAAACTGCTCTGAGACAGTAAAACAGCTGTTACGTTCAACTTGGCATATAGGGAGAAACTACTGCATGGTGTGTCACAAATGGTCTCCACCAAAATGAAAGACATTGAAAGGTACCATGCTGCCTTAAAGTCGTGATCCTCTGGCGCACTATTCCTGTGTGTACTTGAGGTTTGATTTTATTAAAAGAGAACTTGAAGGGCCGGCCAAGTGGCTCATTGGTTAAGAGTTGACTTGGAAGCGTGAGCTCTGAGCAGCAGGGCCGCTGGTTTGGATCCCACATGGGCCAGTGACACTGTGCCCTCTATAGCTAAGATGGTGAGCAACAGCTCGACCTGGAGCTGGGCTGCCGTGAGTCACCGGCGACTGCATAGGCTGCAGCCCCTGTTGCAGTGGGCTGCCGTGAGCTGCCATGAGCTGCTGTGAGCGGCCATCCAATGGCTGGCGACTCATCTGCCTTAGCCAGGAAGAGCGCAATGATAATACCAACATGGGCCAGTGAAGCAACGTCCTCCACAACTAGACTGAAGAACAAAAGGACAGCAACTTGCCTGTTCCCCTTTCCCGATTCCCCAACCACGTTCCCTCCTCCAATTCCCCAATAAAATCTTTAAAACAAATGAACAAACAAAAAACAGAACTTGAAGAGTTTCTGATAGTAACCAGCAAACTGTGTGTGTGAGGTTGCTTTCCTTTCACCTCTGAAATTTTTGTGCTAAATGACTTGTGTTTCTCTTTATTTCCCTTGGTTAGCCTTATTAGAAAGAAGGCTGCGGGGCTGGAGTCGGCGGCCAGCATAAGAACCAAAGTGTTTGTGTGGGGACTGAACGACAAGGACCAGCTGGGCGGGCTGAAAGGCTCTAAGGTACCCCTGCCTGAAGTCCCCGTGTCACTCTCACTACATGAGTGAGGGGGAGCTTTGCTGGTGCCCTTGGCTCAGAGGAGCCCAGCAACAGCCAGCCTTCTTAGGAAGTTTCTACTTTGGCTTTACCTTCTATGTGTTGTCTTTTAAATGGACTTTTCTGTAGTAATTCTTGACATGACCCCACAGACATTATCAAATTTAGTTTCCGAAAAGCCTGTTTGGGGAAAATAGTACACTGTAGGTGTAGTTGCATTATTGCTGTTTTATAAACTAGAAAATTCACTTTTGAAAAGATTGACAAGCACATAGGTGACAATTACAGAAAAATTACAAAAAAGAAAAGCGAATTTATTTTGGCTTTCACTACAATAAACATTTTTGCCTATCATGAACAAATGATGCATAAAAAATGCCGCAGAGGCACAGAGACGAGCAAGACGTGATGTAAAGAGTAGATACGACAAAGGATGCCTTTGAATGAGGGGTGAATTCGGTGTCCCTGTCTCCTACCGGAGGAGCCACAGAACAGAGTCCTCCAAGCTTTAGTGCCTAGAAAAAGCTTCTCTTCAGATGAGCATCTGGGAGACCTCACCACGGCAGACCCCTTGTTACCTGCTTTGTTGAGAAGCTGGGAAGGAAAGTTAGAAGGTTTATTTTAAGTGTCTCTCTTCAAGCACAACACACTTTTATCTTTATTTGAATAGCCCTGGACCCCACTTGGAAGTGGGCAGGGGGCAGTGAGCTGGGAGTCAGTGGTGATGGTTGGGGGCTGACTGGGAGGGGCCGAGGCACATGGCCCTTGCTGGAGTTTGCATGTAAAGGATGGCTTGGCGCCCCATGCTGTGATGCAGCCCTTTCTTCCACTGTAGTGGTGACTGTTGGATAGTTTCTGACACGGAAGTGTAAAGGTTTCTTAGGGGCTTTAAGAATTTTAGATGAAATCACATACATCTACAGTGGGACATTTAAGCGCATAATTTCTTAGGAATGTCAGAATCAACAAGAATGAGCAGGACCTGACCTAAGACGTAGCTTACCAGATGTTTGTTATCTCACATTATGTGTAGCTCACTTTTCACCTCTCACCGTGGAGACGCGCAGTGTGTGCACATAGGAAGAATAGGGACCTGAGCCCCGGTGTCCCCGTCACACCTTCACCGGTCACCAGCAAATAGTCATGTTTTTGCCTTTATTTTTTACACAGCCCCATCCCTGTTTATTTTAAAGTAAATCTTAGTATATCATTTTACCCTTAAAATACTTTCTTGTGTATCCTTAAGAGAAAATCACTGCTTTGGTTATTATGATCACACAAATGAACAATTCCTTGAATCATCTAATAAGGTTACTTGTAATTTGAAAAGTGGAAGTAAAACTGCCTTTTTCCTTCTTTTGTTTAAAACATAATCCTGTTCTAGATAAAGGTTCCTTCGTTCTCTGAGACACTGTCTACTCTGAATGCAGTACAGGTGGCTGGTGGTTCCAAAAGTTTGTTTGCAGGTATGATTATTCTAGTATTGAACATTTTAAAATTATATTTAGCACTAAAGATGCAGTTATTGTGTTGTGACACATGAGCCTCACTTGCTCTCGTTCCTCACAGTGACCGTGGAAGGGAAGGTGTACGCCTGTGGGGAAGCCACGAACGGCCGGCTGGGTCTGGGCATGGCCAGCGGGACGGTGCCCATCCCTCGGCAGATCACAGCGCTCAGCAGCTATGTGGTCAAGAAGGTGGCCGTCCACTCAGGTACCAGCGCAGTCCACATGCTCTGCGAGCAGCCAGGGCCCCCTAAATGTTTCACTCAGGTACCAGACAGCGACGGCATGCTCTGTGAGCAGCCAGGTCCTAAAAGTTTTCTGAGGTGTCCTGTGTTCTTTTCCAAGTTCTACCTAGTTATCAGGAATGAAACTGGATAATGTTGACATCCGGGTGTTCGTCGTTGCCACATGAGACTTTTTGGGGATCAGTGGTGGTTAATGTTCCCGGTGGTGGGGCGTCCCTCCAAGGAGGGTTCTCAGTCTGGGAGCCGTGGCCCCAGGTGCTCAGCATCTCTGAAATTATCGCACTCTGTGCAGAAAGATGTTACCTTTCTGGGAAAGAGCCTGTAGCTTTCTTTAGATTTCCAAAGTGTCTGTGAACCCCAGTGATAAGGAAGAGCCGTTAGGAGTTTAGCGACCCTTTCTGAGTGTCACTTCGAAGCACTGTGCTAGGTCTCTGAGGACGGGGACCGAGGGAGATGCAGACCTCAGCTTGTGCCAACTGGACAGGCTAAGGTTTGGCACCATGTGACAACGTGGCTTGAGCAGGCTGGACGTTTACTTTTCTCCTCTGGAAAAATCTGGAGAGGGGTCCAGTGCCAGTGTGGCAGTTCTGTGCCCACCCCCATTGGCAGATGGCCCTGCAGCTCTGGGCAACACAAGACAGGCGTTTCTTCAGTCACTCGGCCCCTCTAGAGCTCTTTCCCAGAATCACCTCTGTCTCCATCCTCTCTGGGGATGTTGAGGGGCGGGGACTGGGAGCCCAGGAGCTGGCAGGGGCTCAGGTGACAGAGGAAACACCAGTGAAGGCGGTTGTCTTCAGTCTTGAGGTGGGTGGGTGGCCGGGAAGGTGGCTAGTGCAAGAAGAGACAGGAGCTGATGTGATGGGAAGACCACGAATGATGCCACGTGGGCTCAAATCGTGCCCCTGCTGGGGTTCTCAGAGGCTTAGCTGCCACGGCGTTTGATAATGTGCCTTGTTGCTAGGGCACTTGTTTTTACTTTTCCATCTGACTTTGATCTTTTAGGTATTTAAGCGCAACAGGAACCCCATAATAAATAGCATTATTTTGCCTTTTTTTTGCAAGTAAAATTCTTTCTAGGATTTAAACTTTGTCGTTTAAAAACAGTTGGCTTATTTTATATAGTTGTTGCCCTGAAAAGTTGACACCATTTGCTCATTTATCCACACGTACTCACTGAACACGTGCTGCGCGCCAGGCAGTCGGAGGTTATGCTGTGAGCTTTCTGTACGCCAGCTGTGGCCCCCACTTGTGTGTGAATGTTGCAGGCGGCCGGCACGCGACGGCGCTGACTGTGGACGGCAAAGTGTTCTCCTGGGGTGAAGGTGATGATGGCAAGCTCGGCCACTTCAGTAGAATGTAAGAGCGTTTCCTGTACTTCCTAATAAGAAGCTGCTACTGCTGATAATGGTTATTCTGCAGTAAAGTACATGGGAAGGTGACATATGAAAACGGAACCTAAAAGTATAGTTGTAAAACCCGTGAGCGTGACCGTGCCTCACGTGTTGTTTTCAGGTTTGATTGTTAAGTCGATCTGGAGCTGTGGGTCAGTGTAGATGTCCTTTTGTTCCTGCTTTAAAAAGGCTGCACTGATCACAGGGAATGCGATTTCATCTTCTTTAGGAATTGTGACAAACCCCGGCTGATCGAGGCCCTGAAAACCAAGCGGATCCGGGACATCGCCTGTGGGAGCTCACACAGCGCAGCCCTCACGTCCAGTGGGGAGCTCTACACCTGGGGCCTTGGAGAGTATGGCCGGCTGGGCCACGGGGACAATACGACACAGCTGAAGCCCAAAATGGTGATTATGGACATTTTCATTGCTTACAAAGCTTACCATGTGCTGGTTTCACAAGAAGATACGCTTCGCGTCTAGGAAAGTTCTTAGGACAAGTGCATTATTGGCTTCCAGTCTGCACCAAATCCCCCTCCTTCCCTAAGTGCCTTGCTTGATTCTGTTTTTAAATTTGTGATCGAGTAGGTGAAAGTCCTTGTCGGTCACCGAGTGATCCAGGTTGCGTGTGGGAGTAGAGACGCCCAGACTCTGGCCCTGACTGATGAAGGTGAGCTCCCGTCCTGAGCACGGTCCCGGGGGGATGTGGTGAGATGCTGGCCTGAAGAACCTTTTTCTTAAACCTAGGTTTGGTGTTTTCCTGGGGTGATGGCGACTTTGGGAAATTGGGCCGGGGAGGAAGTGAAGGCTGCAACGTCCCTCAGAACATCGAGAGGCTGAACGGCCAGGGGGTGTGTCAGATTGAGTGTGGTGCTCAGTTCTCTTTGGCACTCACCAAGTCGGGAGTGGTGTGGACGTGGTAGGTGAACTCCCTGACACTGGCCGTGTATGTGGGGGCCTCGGAGGGGTGGTTCTTACTACCCAGTCATCTCTGTCCTTGTATCTGTTTTGAGTTGGGGTTGGTAACAGTAGAAGAAATTTCATATGACTGGGTGGTTTAGAAAAGAACGCTGGAGACACCGCAGCCCCACTGAGTTCCCTGTGTGGGTGAGGTTTACGTGGAGTTTCTCCTGCTTTCTAACCTCACCGGAAGCCTGCTGATCAGATGGGCGGGAAACACTTCTGGTTTCTTTCACCTTGAAAAAGTGCATGTGTGTTTCTTGTGGAAGCTTATTTTATTAAATCAAAGAGGAGTGGGGCACCCAGCTAGCCTTGGGCCTTTGCCGAGTATCATGCCCAGAGACAGCTGGAGAAAGAATTGCAGTGGAGAGGACTTTTAAGAGGCATTTAAGGATGTTTATCATGTTTCCAATCTCTATATGAAAACCTACCTCAGTAACTTACATGCTGGGAAATACACATTAAGGGTCCTGCCTTGTCACGTAACCCCAGAGCGGGGCACTGTATGACATTGCTGAGCTGGCTTTAGGGCCGTTGGCAGCGAGTGTTTCACTGTGGAGCGCCCTCAGACTGTCACCGTACATTAACGTGTGTGTGGCTCCTCGCAGGGGGAAGGGGGATTACTTCCGGCTGGGCCACGGCTCCGATGTGCACGTACGGAAGCCGCAGGTGGTGGAAGGACTGCGAGGGAAGAAGATTGTACACGTGGCCGTCGGGGCCCTGCACTGCCTGGCAGTCACAGACACAGGGCAGGTAAGCTGAGGGCATGACAAGCCCTTCTTGTCCAGTATCGCTCATGCTGAGATGAGATGGGTCTTGTTATGTGAAGAACCACAGGAAGGGGCATGTCCACTGTGTTCCTGTGAATACCTGCCCCCTGCCCAATTGTCAACATGGACGGGGGTGGGAAGAGGTTGCCACCAGGCGCATGTTGGAGAGCAGGCATTCTGACTCGAAAGCCCACGAGGAGCTGGTGGCCATCAATGGCCCCTACAGCTAGGTAGGAGCAGTGTTTTACTTCAGAAACTGACAGCTCATGGGAAGACCTTAGAAATAAAATTACCTTTGTCAGTGTTACTCCTCCTCCTGCTTTGAGAGTCCGTACCATGACAGGCCCATGGACATTATAGCTTTAGAAATTCATTGATGACAACAGGATAGCATACTGGTTTTTAATCAAAATGAATTAAAAATGAATTATACCTTCTAACTCTTTAAAGCCAGGAAGTGAATTACAGCAGTTCTCCCCTTATCCGTGGGGGACACATTCTAAGACCCCCAGTGGATGCCTGAAACCACGGATAGTACCAAACTGTGTACTTATAGCCAATCCGCAAATAATGTCATTTTGTTTGTCATTATAATATAACATTGACAAGGAAAAAACATCGATTCCTGGCCGGGGCCACTGTCTGAGTGGAGTTGGCACGTTCTCCCCATGTCTGCATGGGTTTCCTCTCATGTCCTAAAGATGTGCCTGGGAGGTGAACTGGTGTGTCCGGATTGTCCCAGTCTCAGTGGGTGTGTCTGTGTGGTGGCCCTGTGATGGAAGGGCGTCCTGTCCAGGGTGGGCGCCACCCTGCCTCTTGAGCTGCCGCGATGGGCTCCCGGCCTTATTTGGCCGAGGGTAACTGAAACCATGGATAAGGGGAAGTCCTGCACTTGAAAAATGAGCATATTGTGTATGGTCATTTTGCTTTGTAAAATAAAGGAAAAACAGTAGATGAACTCATTGGATTGATATTACATAAATACTCACAGTGATCGGCAAGAATCGTGAAGTAAATTTAAAGAAAATGTTCTGAAATGTTGAAATACTCCATTTTGTTCCCCTTAACAGGTATACGCTTGGGGTGACAATGACCATGGCCAACAGGGCAATGGCACGACCACGGTTAATAGAAAGCCCACACTCGTGCAAGGCTTAGAAGGCCAGAAGATCACGCGAGTGGCTTGCGGGTCTTCACACAGTGTGGCGTGGACGACTGTTGATGTGGCGACGCCCTCTGCCCACGAGCCTGTGCTCTTCCAGACCGCGAGAGACCCGTTAGGCGCATCCTACCTGGGTGAGGCATTTGTGAGCTCCTCTGGGGCATAGCAGCGCCACGGGCTTCAGTAGCATCACCGTGTTGATGCCAACCACGGCAGCCATGCTGTGCCAGTGTTGTCTCGTCCCCCTCATAGCCCTCCTGCCTCCTGCCCCACTGATTACTTTCTGTCCCTGTGGGTCACTTCATTTTTTTAACTCACTTTTTTCACTTAGCCTGATTATTTTGTGTAGAATTGGTATGATTTCAGTAGAATTCACCAGTGAAGCCATCTGGGCCTAGAGTTTTCTTTGTGGGGTTTCTTTCTGTTTTTTAACCAAAAATTTAATTTCTTTAATAACTACAGGGTTACCTGTTTCTACCTTTGCTGGAAGTTGTCTGTGTCACCTAAATTGTTGAATTTATTGGCATGAAGTCATTCTCAATATTTCCTTTTTTTAAAAAATTATTTTTATTTTTGTAGAAGCTGCAGTGATGTCATCTCTCTCATTTTTTATATTGGTAATTGTATCTCCTCTTTCCATTTTGTCTACAGGTTTATCAATTTTAGTAACTTTTTTCAAAGAATAAGTTTATGGTGTTCTTGATTTTTCTCTATTGTTTTTCAGTTTTCTACTTCACTGATCTCTGCTCTAATCTTTATTGTCTTTTTTTAGTTTAATATGTTCTTTCCTAGTTGCTTTTATTATAAGCTTACATCATTGATTTAGGATCTTCCTACTTTTCTAATAAACATTCAGTTTTCTCTCCTTGACTAACTGATTCTGCTATCATGACAATTACCTTCTTTATCCCTTTGCTTTGAAATTCTTTGCTTTAAAATCTAATTTGTCTCACATTAATATACTCACTCCAGCTTTCTTTTGATCAGTGCTTTTCCACATACCATAATGTACTGTGGTATATCTTTTTTCATCCCTTTTAGTTTATTTGTGTCTTTATATTAAAAGAAGCTTTCTTGTAGGCAACATATAGTTGGAATTTGCTTTTTTTTTTAAGATTTTATTGGGGAATTGGGGGAGGGGAACAGCATTGGGGAATTGGGGAAGGGGAACAGACAAGTTGCTGTCCTTTTGTTCTTCAGTCTAGTTGTGGAGGACGTCGCTTCACTAGCCCATGTAGGTATTATCATTGTGCTCTTCCCGGGTGAGGCAGTTGGTCGCTGGCCATTGGTCAGCTGCTCACAGCGGCTCACGGCAGCTCACGAAAGCAGACGGCCGCTGCGGGCCAGCCCTACTGCAGCCTATGCCGTTGCTGGCGACTTACTGCAGCCCAGCTCCAGGTCGAGCTGTCGTTCACCATCTTAGCTGTAGAGGACACAGCGTCACTGGCCCTCATATGGGATCCGAACTGGGGACCTGCTCCTCAGAGCTGGCATCCCAAGCCAACTCCTAACCAACGCGCCACTCGGCCGGCCCAGTTAGAATTTGCTTTTTAAAATTTGCTCTGACAACCTGTAATTGGAGTGTTTAGTCCACTTACATTTCATATAATTATTGGTCTGTTTGTTTCAAGTCTATCATCTTGCTATTTTTTTCTGATAGTCCTAGGTGTTCATTGTATTTTTCTGCCTTCCTTTGAATTATTTTTTATGATTTTATATTTTTCTCCTTCATTTTCTATGAGCTCTAACTTACTGTGTTACTTCAGCGATTGCTTTAGGGTGTGTATTATACAGCTTTAACTTACAGTCTACCTTCAGGTGACATTACACTACTTCACATGTAATGTATGAACACACAATAGTACATTTCTGGTTTTTTCCTTTCTTAAAATGTATATACATTTTTGTGGCACCCTCCATATATATTTAGTATGACTCTATTTGGGGGATATGCCTGCAGAGATATTTATTATAAAATAAAAAAGTTATCTATAAAAAAAAATAGTATATTTCAGGTTCTTCCCTCCTAGCTTTTGTGCGATTGTTGTCATACGTTGCTGTCTATCCTATAAATTTCACAGTATTTTTTGTTAATTTTCTTCAAACATTAGGTTATCTATTAAAATGGTTTAAGTAATAAGGAAACACTGTCTCTGCATTCACTTATGTAGGTACATTCCCTGTGCTCCCCCCTCCTTTGCAGGTCCATGTTTCCATCAGGCATCGTTTTCTTCTGCTCGGAGGCCTTCCTTTGTTATGTCCTGTCCTGTGCCAGGGACACTTCCTCTCAGCGTTTTATGTCTGACTGGTTGTTATTTTGCAATATATGTTAGCTAGATATGGAATTCTAGGTTGACAGTTTTTTCTTTCCATTGGTTAAAGACATCCCACTGTCTTGTAGCTTGCATTGTTTCATTGAGGATTTGCTGTCATTTTTATCTCTGGTTTTCTGTACATAACGTGTCTTTTTTCTCAGACTGCTTTTAAGATTTTTTCTTTGTCCCTCAGGGTTTGAGCAATTTTATAGGATGCCTTCATGGTTCTGGTACTTGTGGTTCATTGTGCTTCTTGGATGTTTGGGTTTATAATTTTTATCAAATTTTGAGATTTTTCAGTCACTGTTCCTTCACAAAAAATTTTTCTCTGTAGCTTCTTGTCTCCTCTCTTTTAGAAACTATAGTTTATGTATATTACGTCTTTTGAAGTTGCCCCATAGATAACTGATGCTGTCTTAATTTTTACATTCTTTTCTGTGTTTCATTTTGGATAGTTTCTATTGCTTTGTCTTTAGATCACTAGCCTTTTCTTAATTTTCCAATGTGCTGTCAACGTCACCAAATTATGATATATTTTTTAAAGATTTGTTTTTTAAATTGGGGACCTGGGGGAGGGGAACAGACAAGTTGCTGTCCTTTGGTTCTTCATTCTAGCTGTGGAGGATGTCGCTTCACTGGCCCATGTTGGTATTATCCTTGTGCTCTTCCCGGGTGAGGCAGTTGGTCGCCGGCCATTGGACAGCTGCTCACAGCAGCTCATGGCAGCTCTCGCCAGCTGCCGGACACTCATGGTAGTTCACGGCAGCCCACTGCAGCCCCACTGCAGCCCCACTGCAGCCTACGCTGTCGCCGGCCACTCACGGCAACCCAGCTCCAGGTCGAGCTGTTGTTCACCATCTTAGCTATAGAGGGCACAGTGCCACTGGTCCATGTGGGAACCGAACCGGCGGCCCTGCTGCTCAGAGCTCGCGCTCCCAAGCCAACTCTTAACCAACTGAGCCACTTGGCCAGCCCCTCACCAAATTATTTTAATCTCACACATTGTACTTGATTCTTTAGAAATTTGATTTGGGCATTTTGTATCTTCTATATCTCTAGTTCTCTTTTTGGGCATATGGAATACAGAGACTATAATGAGTGTTTTAAGTTCCTTGTCTACTGATACCTGTGTGACTTCTGGGTTGTTCAGATTGGTTTTTCTTCTTCCTTCAGAATTAGGCAGTGTTTTTCTGCCTTTCTGCTTACATGGTAACTGTGGTTGGGTGCCATCCCATGTGACTTTTGCTGTGGATGTTCCAGAGATTTGTGTCTGTCTATAAATCTTCTTGAGCTTACATACAGCTAAGTTACTCTGAAAAAGTTTGATCCATTTGGGTCTGGGTTTTGGGTTTGTTAAGAGGGTTCTGACCCGATTAGTCTGGGGCTAACTGTTCCCCACCACTGAGGCAAGAGCCTCCTGTGTACTCTCCTTAGTGCCCTGTGAGTTACGAAGTCTTCCCCTCTGTGTGCTGGGCCTCTCTTCCTTTCATGTAATTCTGTCTGTGGCTTTGGGCAGTTCCGCCTCACACAGGCACCCACCAGTGTCTGCCGCACCCTTGGCTGGGTGGGTAAGGGCACAGCACCTCGCCAGGGCACTTTTAGGCATCTCTCTCTTCTGTGGTCCTGTCCTGGGAGCTATGGCCTCATGGGCCTCCCTCACATAAGCTCTGCCACCTGTATTCACAGAGACCACTGGCTCCACCGGGCCCCTCCCTCTGCTGAGACCCGGAACCTTCAGGGTGGTGATCTGGAACGTGTCCAATAAGACTGTTTATTGTTGAACATCTTGTCTTCTCTCCATTGTTTTGGATTCTTTTTTTGTCTTACTTTCAATGATAAATATAGGTAGTTGTTGTGGCATTTTTACAGCTCATGTATGTATAACAAATTATTATAAGTACATTTTGTAAAAGTAGCTTCATCTTTTTGCAGTTACAGTGAACCTTTGCTGAAAATAGCTTCTTTATGGAAGTATAGATAAGATAAAATAAGTGAGATCTTTTTACTCTGAAAGACTATCAATGAACCTAATCTGTGAAATAGCAAAATGTAGATTGCAGTGTGTTTTGGAACTACACTGAAAGGTCAAATTATAGAAATAGAACAAACTGTGATCTTAAGAACTGAACCCAAATTTCCCTTTTCTTTTTCAGGTGTGCCTTCAGATGCCGACTCTTCTGCTGCCAGTAATAAAATTAGTGGTGCAGGTGGTTTCAAGCCAAACCGCCCTTCTCTTGCCAAGATCCTCTTGTCACTGGATGGAAACCTGGCCAAGCAGCAGGCCTTGTCCCACATCCTCACTGCTCTGCAGATCATGTACGCCAGGTAGGCCGCTTCCCCAGCTCCTGTAAGCTCGGGTTTGTGTCCTGCTGGGTTCATGAAACGTCTCAGAAATGTGATACAACTGTTTTTCGATACTGTGAGTTTTAGGTCCCATACCTTTGATAGTGGACAAGGATGTGTACCTTTGTGCTTACCTTAATGAGGTTTAAACATGACTCAGAAAACCAAGTTAAGGAACATTTTGTTATTCTTTGTAGCCAATAAACTCTAAGCACGAATATGTGTGGGACGAGAGGAAGAATTAATTGATACTAGTACTCAGTGATGTTGAGACCACCTGTCGTCCTCTGCACTTAGACACTTGAAAAGGCAAGAGTTTTGGTGGCTGGATCTTTCCCAGAATTTTGCTGCTGTTTTCTCAGAGCTGAAGTGAGTTCCCAGCTCTCAGTGGGTCGTGCTATGGACCCAATGAATAGAAATCAGTACTGACACAGGAATGTCCAGTCTCAGACCAAAGGTGACTCAGTTGTGGAGAGGACATTGGGACGCCCTTGGTATGCGGCTTTCAGTAAGCACAGAGCTACCCTCAGGCTTCAACAAGAGCCCAGGAGGGTTTCTATGCTTGGCAGATTTTCCTCCTGTCATCACTGTGGTCATTCAGATAAATAAGATCAGGAGTAAATATTTTTGTGTTTAGCCAATAAATACAATGCCGTAATGTTTGGTGTTTTTCCAAAGCACTTTTATGTGTGTCCTGTAAGGTGAGGGAGCCCTTCGTAAGCGCTTATCCTGCCCGCTGGTTGCTGTCCCACCGTGGTAATGGGCAGCTCACTGCGGGCCCGGCTTCTTTCCTGACAGGGATGCCGTTGTTGGGGCCCTGATGCCGGCTGGCATGATTGCGCCTGTGGAGTGCCCCTCCTTGTCCTCAGCAGCCCCTGCTGATGCCTCCGCCACGACCAGTCCTGTGAATGGGGAGGAGTGTGTGCTGGCTGCCGACCCTGAAGACAGACTAAGTCCAAGTCCATGGCAAGAGAAGAGAGGCGAGGTAAAGTGAAGGACAGCAGCATCAAGTGAGAAAGGGCTGGTCACTGCTTCACTCAGAGCACTTTCTCCACGCACTGCAATGATTTGGGGCTTGAGTTAGAAAATACTCCATTTAAAAAGGAGACGTTTTAGCAATTAAACGGAAATAGACTTCTTTTACAAAGTTGGTAAATGCAGGTCCATAGTCCTTCATCCGCAATTCTGAAACCTTAAAGCTCTGAAAGCCAAATGTTTTTGTAACTCGGGGGGAAAACACGGCTTGACGAGGTGCAAGCTCATTTTAGTGTTCTTCGTGTGACCTGTTGTGAATATTCATAGTTTTCCTGGGAATATGAATGCATGTGACTTTGCAGGGTGCCCCATACCCCACTGGAGGTGGCAGCAGTGGTGAGCACTTGGTTAGCACCATAAAATTTGGAATATTCCAGGTGGCCCAAGGGTTTTGGATGAGGCTTTTTGGAGTTGTGTGGAAAGCTGAGGTTTTTCTCTTCCTGTGTATTTTTAAACTAGATTGTCTCTTCCGAGGATGCCGTGACCCCCTCTGCAGTGACCCCGTCAGCTTCCTCCGCCTCTTCTCGGCCGTTTATCCCAGTGACAGATGACCCCGGAGCTGCCAGCATCATTGCAGAAACCATGACCAAAACCAAAGAGGTCAGGGGCTCTCATATTTACTGTTTTCTTTTGAAATCACCTTGAATGTACACAGAGATTGCAGAAGCAGCCTATAGATACCAGACACGGTGGGGTCTACTGCTCTGTCTGTGTAGGTCCCGCAGTCCAGCATTTCTGCCCTGCTGGTGGGGAATGGCAGGCGCAGTCCCCATGCCCCATGCCCCATGCCCCGGTGTGTACATGAGTACAGACAGGATTGCTTTTAATCACAGACCCACTTGGGCTTTGCACATCGTCCCAATAGTGTCCTTTATGGGTCCAGGGCCTAGCCCAGAGTGTGTTGTCTCTAATCCTCAGGATAGAACAGTTTTTCTGTGCATCCCTTTGGGCAGTGTGCATTGTTGATTGGTTGCATTGGGGGTGATGCTGTTCTTAGCACTTGCTTAGCAGTGTCTGTCAGGCTTCTCCACAGGAAGTTCATAAAAGTGTGTTAAGTATCACTTTGTGACCATGTGAGTACCTTGTTCCTCATTCTGTTTCCACCCACCAGTTTCAGTATCTACTGGATCTAGCTGAATGCACTGTTACTGTGGTAGTTGTCACGTGGAGAATTTTGGAATTTCATCATTCCTTTTGGAATATGATTATTGCTGTTCTCCTGTAAAGGAGAATGTTCCCTTCTTACCTTGTCTACCTGTCTGTCTTTCTGCCTGTCTGCTTGTCTGCCTGCCTGTCTGCCTGCCTGCCTGCCTGCCTGCCTACCTGTCTTTCTTTCTCCGTGTCTGCCCGTCTGTCTTCCTGGCTGGCTGGCTGGCTGGCTGGCTGCCTGCCTGCCTACCTACCTGTCTTTCTTTCTGTCTGCCTGTCTGCCTGCCTATCGGTCTTTCTTTCTGCCTGTCTGCCTGCTTGCCTGCCTGTCTGTCTGCCTTTCTGCCTGTCTGTCTGCCTTTCTGTCTGTCTGTCTTTCTGCCCATCTGTCTGTCTGCCTGTCTGCCTGCCTGCCTGTCTGTCTTCTGTCTGCCTGTCTGTCTGTCTGTCTGCTGGCCTGCCTGCCTGTCTGTCTGCCTATCTTGGTATAGATTCATGGAATCCTGTTTTAGTCAAATAATGGCAAACATTACTGTCATCATTTGACACCACATTGTCCCCGAATTGGCCATTGGGAGCCCTTCTGGATTGGTTCCTTTATCTCTCTGACATGTCCTCATAATTCTTTGGGCATGTTCTCGCTTTTGGCACAGTAGTGTTTGCCAAAGTCATCCTGCACCTGTCCTGTCCCTGGTCTGGGCTCAGCCATTCTCCAGGGGCCCTGGTTCCTTTTAGAGACCACAGGGGATGGAAACAAGATCTGGGTGCTTGGTGAACTGGTCGCTGCTGTGGGTCCTTGGTTTAGGGTCTCAGCAAACAGGCGTGCTTGCATGCGAGCGTTTACTTCTTCAGCGTCTTCTCTACATATGAAAAGCCACAAGCAGTTCAAACCAGTGCTTTGAATGCTAGTTCAGCACCACCGGGCCTGTCCTGGCTCCTCCCTCTCTGTGTCTGAGGTGTGCAATCCTTTTACATGGCGATGGATTGGCCTGGTGCTGTGTTGAAGATCTGCACCTGTGTTCACAGCAGTGATCACCTGTTGTTGTCCTGTGATGTCTTTACCAGCTTTGGGTACCAGTAACACTGGCCTCATGCAAGGAGCTAAGTGGTGTTCCCTCTTCTTCTGTTTTCTTAGAAGAGTTTGCGAAGCGTTGGTGTTAATTCTTTAAATATTTGGTAGCATTTAGCCTGTCCTTCTAACTTGCTCCCATCAATCTTTGAGGGTTTCCTTGCTTTTGCCACAACACAAAATTCTAGGCTCAGCAAGATGTTTCATGTGCCAGAGATTTCTCCCTGAAGTCTTGGTTCTTTTTAGTGGAGAAGTTTCTAGAAGCCATGCTCTGGGCCTTCCTGCAGAGCATTCATTCTAGCCTTCTCTCCCTCTGTATTTATAATTCTCTTCTCAGAGAGTGAGAATCCTGGCTCGTGCTACTGACAATGGATTTACTTCCCCTCTGGCTGCCACCCCCCCGCCCCACACATGCGCACCCTCCTTCCCCTACTCAGCTTCTGGCACTCAAAACCAGTCTGCCCTCCACAGGGATGTCCTCTGACCCTGCTTGACCTGTGACCTTCCCCTAGGCTGGCCCAAAGCAGGGACACCTTTTACTCGGCTTGGCTCTGTCCCCACAGTCACCCCCACATGTGGATGCCCTCCCCGCCCACTCAGATGCTCCCGCCACCAGATGGTCTCCCCTGCTCACACCTTGTCCCTGTACCCCCTTGGGGACAGACGTGCATTATTTTTAATTACGTTTGGAACTCTTCACTTTTAATTCTGTCACTCCTGGTAAAAACATCCCATGGAAATTATTGGTAACCATATATGACAATGATGAAATCACTATTTATAAATTAGGTATCTGGATTCAACGTTTGCTGTTTGGCCATCTCCTAGGATGAGGGTTTAATGTCATAAATTATTCTGAATTATCATTATTACACCTATGCTGCAAACTTGGTCACAGTATAAATTGTCAATTCTTTATAGTTTAGGCATTGCTTTTGACAGGTGCTGTTGTTAATTTGTAAAACAGCTCATTGGTCTTGCAAGCATGGTACATGTGGTGGAGGTTTTAGGGGCCTGTTGTTTCTTCACTTGGTATTTCATCGTGTTCAGTGTCTATGAGAGTCCCTTATTCGTCCTTGGTGGTCATGTATCTTTCAGTTTATGGGTGAACTGGTGGCTGTTTCTTAACATCCCGTCCCTTGTCTTCATTGTTGGCTTTGTAGGGTGTTGAAAGCCAGAGCAAAGCCTCAGGCCCGGAGCCGCAGTCCTTGGATGAATTCACCAGCCTGCTGGTCTCTGACGACACCCGTGTCCTGGTGGACCTGCTCAAGCTGTCCGTGTGCGGCCGGGCAGGGGACAAGGGCAGGGATGTGCTTTCGGCTGTGCTGTCCGGTATGGGCACCGCCTACCCACAGGTGAGCCATGGCGGGAGGTGAGGGCTGCGCCTGCTGCTGTGGCTGCCGCGTCTTGTCTGGGACTCGGGGTTCTTCTAGGGGACAGCAAGCGCTGGGACTCCTTGTGGAACAAGTCCTTTTCTGTCCCATGCGCTGCTGTTGTCCCCAGTTTACCTTTGACATCATTTGAAATTTTTTTTTTTTAAGATTTTTATTGGGGAGTTGGGGGGTGGGAACAGCGCTGGGGAATTGGGAGAAGGGGAACAGACAAGTTGCTGTCGTTTTGGTCTTCAGTCTAGTTGTGGAGGACGTTGCTTCACTGGCCCAAGTTGGCACCATCATTGCGCTGTTCTCGGGCGAGGCAGATCAGTCTCCGGCTTCTGGACGGCCGCTCACGGCGGCTGCTGGCCGCTCACGCTGGCTGCTGGCTACACACGGTAGCCCAGCTCCAGGTTGAGCTGTTGTTCAGCATCTTAGCTGTGGAGGGCAGTGTCACTGGCCCTCATATGTGGGATCCGAACCGGGGCCCTCTGGCGTCCCAAGCCAGTTCTTAACCATCACGCCACTCGGCCAGCCCTCATTTGATATTTTTAGCCATTTCTAATTTTCTAATTTTTACAATCTTAGATCTGCCTGTGTCTTTCATTTATGGCTCCTGGATGTTGTATCCTGCTGAAAATAGGCTTCCTGGCATGACATTATTTAAAGAAACTCTCCCAGTTCTTGTAATTATTTTTATGACTTGATTTATGACCTTGACCTTTTTGAGTCACCTGGAATTTATCCTGATAACAAGGAATAAGTGGGGACCCAACTTTATTTTTTCCTAGATGGCAAACATGGTGGTTCAATATCATTTATTGGCTAATCCATCTTTTCCCAGTGACTTGAAAACCACTTTTATCATATTCTAAGTTTCGTGTGTATTTGGGTCCATTTCCAGACTCTTTTCTGTTCTATTAATCTAACTCTTTATGCGTCAACACCACAGGGCTCTGCCCATTACAGCTTTCAAATAGGTTTTGGTGTTTGGTAGCACTGGGTACAATAGGACTTTCTCCCATGGTGGCTGTGTCCTGTACCTAGCCATCCAGTAGGGAAGCCCCCGGCCACATGTGGCTGTTGAGTACTCGAAGTATGGCTGATGCCTCTGAGGAACTCGAGTTAATTTAAATTTTAATAGCCACATATGGCTGATTTTATATCAGTATGTCTTAGAAATAGGATCGATCAGAGCCCTAAAGTCCTTGGGTTTCCTTAAAGACTTATCAGCGGCCTTGCTCTGCTTTTTCAGAACTGGCCATGTCAGGAGGTCTGATGCCATGTCATCTGTGTTTCTCTGGGCCCCTTAGCACCACCACCAAAACCATAAAGCACTTAAGTATGTTTGAGTGGACTTGAGAACGTAGCAAATGATTTGGTAGATATTTTATTAAGAAATAACAAGCCGGGGCCGGCCGAGTGGCGCGATGGTTAAGAACTCGCTTGGGATGCCAGAGGGCCCCAGTTCGGATCCCACATATGAGGGCCAGTGACACTGCCCTCTACAGCTAAGATGCTGAACAACAGCTCAACCTGGAGCTGGGCTGCCGCTGCAGTCCCTGTGGCAGTGGGTTGCCATGGGCTACCGTGTGTAGCCAGCAGCCAGCGTGAGCGGCCAGCAGCCGCAGTGAGCGGCCGTCCAGAAGCCGGCGACTGATCTGCCTCACCAGGGAAGAGTGCAATGATGGTGCCAACTTGGGCCAGTGAAGCAACATCCTCCACAACTAGACTGAAGAACAAAAAACGACAGTAACTTGTCTGTTCCCCTTCCTCTAATTCCCCAGTACTGTTCCCATCCCCCCAATTACCCAATAAAAATCTTTAAAAAAAAAAAAAAGGAAAAAAAAAAAAAGAAAAAACAAGCCGTATTCAGGAAGAACTAAAAAAAGTTTCAAGTTCCCTATTTTTCTAGTTTTCAAGGCAAGTTACTTGGCATAATTCTGAGATTAAATCAAGGTGAATTGTCACAGGTGCAATGTTAATGTTCTCACAAATGCATCGCCTTTGTGAGAGGGGAGGACGCTCATTCCTGGTAAGCCTGCCCAGGTTGTCACACACATCTGTTGGGCCCAGTGCCCGGTGCACTCTCAACAAGGGCAGGTGTGCCTTGTTGGCAGATGAGGAAGCTGGGCTCCCAAGAGGTCGTCCCTGGCTAAAGGACACTTGGGTTGCTGGTAGGAGAAACGGGGCAGGGCCGTGTCTGCAGCGCTCTGTCACCCTCTCCTGAGAAGCTTGCCAGCCTCTCCTGGGACTATCAAGCTTTGCCCAGGAAGGCTCTGAAGCCCAGAGGAGCCTGCGGGGCTGTACAGTAGGAGTTGGTGACGCCCACGTCTGCGTCTCCGTGACACACCAGGTTTAGGAAGACAGAAACAGAGGTAGGATTGTCTTCACGCTGCCTTGGCTGGTAGCACGATGCTTTTGTCCCACCGGACCTAATATTGGGACTTGTAAAAAAAAACAAACAAAAAAAAAAAAAAGAAAAGAGAGACATCTGACTTTATAATGACAATGCCTTGATGGCAGTGATTAGTCTGTCATTCATAAAGCTGTTTACTAAGCTAATCTGTTATCTAAACATGAGGAAAAACAGAAAAATAATTATTTATTTTTGAAAAGTACAGAAGAGAAAATAGTTCTATTTTTATCTAAATTTAAAAAATGTGTTGATTACTGTATTTTGCTATTACAACATATTCCTGTTTTTAAAAATAGCAATCAAGGCGTTTGTAATCACCAGTATTGATCATTTACATTTTAAAGTGAAACAGGAATGTTACGATTGTGGAGGATGGGGCATGGGGGCTGACCCCCACTGTCCTGGGTCTGTGTAGCCTGGCCCAGACTGTCTGCTCTGTTGGGCTGGGCGGCTGGATTGCTCCCCTCCATCCCCGGCACTCCATCGTGACCCCCAGTGCCTTCCGGGATCTGGGTCCTTTTGTCACCTTTCTGCTCCTTCCTGAGGCTGACTCTCCTGACCAGGAAGTACTCGGTCTCATGGTCACAGGTGTTTCATGTCTTCAGTTGGCACATATTGTTCTGTGTGTGTCAGGCGCCTCTGGCGACTTGCACTAGGTCCCCCAGCTTCCCAGCTCCTCTGTGAGCTCTGTGCTGGCGAGGACACCGAGCCCTGGTTTGAACTCAATTTTTCAAATTCCCAAGTCCTCCACCCTGTCCCCTGCCCCTGTGGAAAGATCTAGAGCAGGTTGAGCAGAGGGCAGCCTCACTACCCCCCTGCTTCCTCCCCCAGGTGGCAGATATGCTGCTGGAGCTCTGTGTCACTGAGTTGGAAGATGTAGCCACAGACTCACAGAGCGGCCGTCTGTCCTCTCAGCCGGTGGTGGTGGAGAGTAGCCACCCCTACACGGATGACACTTCCTCCAGTGGCACAGTGAAGATACCAGGTACCCACAGCCATCCCCAGGGGATGGGGTCTCAGCGGGCAGTGAAGATGCCAGGTACCCAGGGCCATCCCTGAGGGAATATGGGGGTCTCAGTGGGCAGTGAAGATACCAAGTACCCCTGGCCATCCCCGGCAAGTGGGGTCTCAGCAGGCATTGAAGATGCCAGGTACCCAGGGCCAGGAAGAATGCCACAGCTGTCACTGTCCCCAGCTCAGCAATCTTTTCATGAATAAATACTTCTCAATTTGTAGCCTGCCTTTAACTGATTTGCAGAGGACTGGAGTCATCATTTTTCACAATTCTGTGTGGTTTATAGGAGAGGATTTGCCCACCTTTTTTTCCACATACCCAGTGCAGGCCCTGTGCCCCATTCATTCTTTTGTCCCACAGAATACTCTAGACCTAATGCTACACGCCTGATGGAGCTGGTTTTGTATGGCATTTAAATGGGGACAGCATAATAGAGCTTGGTCTGGCTATGGGGTTGTAGCATAAAAGTTTGCCCAGAAATGAGAGCTCAGTGAATTGGCCAAGCAGAAGTGTCTTCTGGCTTTTCCATCACAGGTGGAATCTCGGGTTCTTGTTTTGTGAGCTTGGTTCTTCCTGACTTACTGCTTTTCATGAGCTGTTGGACATGATGTTAGTCTCACTGTTTGTATGTGGGGTGTTGTGGCATTTGGCCTTGTCTGTGGTATGTCAGGTGAGAGGGGTCACCGTGTTTTGTGCTTGCGTGTCCTCCAGGTGCAGAAGGACTCCGGGTGGAGTTTGACCGGCAGTGCTCAACGGAGAGGCGGCATGACCCACTCACGGTCATGGACAGCGTCAACAGGATCGTCTCTGTGCGCTCAGGTTGGTGGGAGGTCTGCTTGCCCCGTGGAGGGAGACTGTTAACGTTACTAAAGAGAATACTTCTCTGCATGCTTATGTGAGACTTAAGGAGGGGATAGTGAGCTATTTAGCAGCAAAGTACCCGTCTCTTCCCAATACTTTCAGTAAGCACTTATCAAAGTGGGTGTGCACCTCGCCATGGGTGGGCAGGGTTACTGGGTGACTAGTGTGAGAGGGGTCCTTGTCAGGGGCACAGACCTGGGATGCCCAGCCATACCCAGACAGTTGGAGATGGTGCCTTAAGACGCGTGGGAGTGCCAGACTCAGTTAAGGTTGACGTGCCACAAAGGTTGTTAAAGGGACATGTGTTTTAATGATTGCAGTGAGGGCTAGGCCACTCAGCGTGAGTGCTCAGCATGTGTGGTGGGCAGAGCACTGGCGCAGACAAGGACGTCACCTCTGGGCCTGTCTCTGCGACCGTGCCCCCAATCCCTCTGTCTAGGGACTGATGAAATGCTCTTTCACTGGGCTTTGCAGCGCCATTAGTGCAGGTGTGTGTGTGGGGTCTCCTCTGGAGACTTCCTCCTTCATCTCAAGCCAGGAGAGCCAGCTTCCTGACCTCACCTCTCCCATCTACCTTTAGAGCGAAAGCAGCCAGACCGAGTGTATGTGACAGCCTGACAGTATCCCCGCAGAACATTACTTATAAGAGGTTACTTATTTAAACCCTGGTCTAAAGCTCTGATTAAAGTAAGATAGTCACAGATGGGCATGGACTTTTTCTGGCAGTGTGACACATGACTGTAGTTTCCAGTAATGTAGTCAGATGTGCCTGGTTTCTCTGCTTTCAGCAGGAGTCCCCTCCAGGCCACCCACACCACTGCCCCATGGCCTTCTAAGTAGGAACCTGGTTGGGTGGCACATTGCGGACCTGTCTCTCCAGCTCCTGTTTATGGCACTCCAGGACCTGGGCCCTGGCTGGGCTGCTCCAAGCTCCTTGAGGGTGGCCCTCCCATGCCCAGGCTTTGCACACTTTCACCCCCTGTGAGAGAGAGAAGCTGGGGCTTTTTCTCCCACTGCCTGAGTAATGGCCATCTTGTCACACCTCCCAGGAGACCCCCCGGTGGGCCCTGATCTGGGTGTGGATGCCCATTGGCTGTGTGGGCCTCTCACACTACGTAGTAGTGGTGTGAGCATATTCATCAATCGTGGCAGCCTCGCCTGTCCCCGGTCCCCCAGCACTTGGTTCACTGAGTCAACATGTGACTCACCAGGAGTGCAGTGAACTCAAACTTGGGAGGTCTTGGGTTGGAGCAGCCACTGTTGTTCAGACAGCGTGACTAGCTCCAGTTTGTATATAAAGAAGTTTGTGTTGGTTGGATGGTGGAATGAACCTAACAGCAGGTGTGCCCCACAGGCCGAGAGTGGTCCGACTGGTCCAGCGAGCTGCGTATCCCAGGGGACGAGCTCAAGTGGAAGTTCATCAGCGATGGGTCCGTGAACGGGTGGGGCTGGCGCTTCACTGTCTACCCCATCATGCCGGCTGCAGGTGAGGGGGCTGGCGGCTTGCAGGTGCTCATGCAGGACTTGCGGCCTCCTTGTGCTGTGCTGGGAGCCAGCTCTGTGCATGCCCCACTGTTGATGGTTAGCACCGTGGACAGCTCCCCGGCTGTCTGGCTGCCCTAGGCAGTGCTCCATTCTCACCACCGGGAAAGCAGCAGTTGCTGGCTGCAGTTCTTCAGCTATTTGATTTTCAGATACAATATCAGAGTACAGAACTTAGTTATGTGACACAGACATGGTGGCCTGTGGGTACCCCCTAGCTGTGGCATTTAGGTGGACGAGGCCCCTTTCTTGTTGGTCCCATGTGTGCGAGTCTTCTTGTGGGGCAGCCCTCGCCCTGTCCAACACAGGGACATTCGTGGTGTTCATTCCTCAGGCCCTAAAGACCTTCTTTCCGATCGATGTGTCCTCTCCTGTCCATCCATGGACTTGGTGACATGTCTGCTGGACTTTCGGCTTAACCTCGCCTCCAACAGAAGCATCGTCCCCCGGCTGGCAGCGTCACTGGCAGCGTGCGCACAGCTGAGCGCCTTAGGTAAGTGGCGCCTGTGTGGCCATGACTATCTTACTGAGTGGGAAAAGTGGTCAAGCTTCTGGTGTTCTCTGTTGGTCGTTTCAGCTGCCAGCCATAGAATGTGGGCCCTTCAAAGACTGAGGAAGCTGCTTACAACTGAATTTGGGCAATCGATCAACATACACCGGCTCCTGGGAGACAATGACGGGGACACCAGGGCCTTGGTATGGAACATGCCATTAAACTTCCAAGTCACAGACAAGAGTTGGGACATGCCACATAAGAATGAGGCAGCCTTTGTCACAGCGTGCCCCTTCTATTGCCCCCTATACTGAGTGAGGGCTGGGCTTTGATTTTAGAAATAGTCATGTGTGGATGCTATGAGCATAGTGTGGTGTTTATAGGGCTTTGCGAGGCCAACTCACCGTTCCCTTTGTTTTGCTGGTTGAGGTAGCTGCCGTAAAAAAATGTTCCATCCGGACCACGATGGGAGATGGGTTTGTATGCCAGAAAGGACTGGTTCCGCGGGCTTGCTGTCCTGAAGTTGAGACCAACCATTCTGACGTGAATTTTCAACTCCCACTTTTTATTTTAGTATTCATCATCCCCTCTTAGTTTTTTTTCTATCTGAAAATATCAATACATGTTTTTTCATGGAGACTGGTATTGATATAATAATACATTTGACTCACAGAGACAAAACGCTCAACTCCCCTGCGTTTTGGATTCCTGGGATAGGATGCAATCTTGTTTCCTTAGAGTTTTACTGGCAGTGCTCTGGCTGCTCTGGTGAAAGGCCTCCCGGAAGCGCTGCAGAGGCAGTTTGAGTATGAAGACCCCATTGTGCGGGGTGGCAAGCAGCTGCTGCACAGCCCGTTTTTCAAGGTAACACGGGACGGAGGGCCTTGAGGGGCTGTCACGGGGTCAGGGTCGTTGAACGTGAAGGATTCTCAGAAGTGACTGACCTAAGCCCTGTGCTATAAGGGTCGGCGTGTTTTGCGGGGCGTCAACTTAGGTGGGAAGGGTAGCACTTGTGGGTCTGACGTCCTAGGCCGTGTGCATCGTTGGAAACTGGGTAGGAATAAAATCAGCGGTGGTCAGCGGGGATAAGGCGCTTCTGAACGAGGTCCCGCAGGACCCGTGATGGTGGCTGTCGTTGGCACTTGGCGTCGGGGAAGTGGAACTTTGGCTGCCTTTCTGAGTGTCTGTGTTGTTGCTTTTTGGTGGCTGCAGGTCCTGGTGGCCCTTGCTTGTGACCTGGAACTGGACACCTTGCCCTGCTGTGCTGAGACGCATAAGTGGGCTTGGTTCCGGAGGTACTGCATGGCCTCCCGCGTCGCCGTGGCCCTGGACAGAAGGACCCCATTGCCCCGTGCATTTCTCGACGAGGTACTATGTGTCGTTTTGGAATCATTTGATGCAAAAATGTCTTCGCTGATCAGCTGCATTGTAAAACGTGCTCATGTTATGCGACAGCGCCATTTCTCTTACCAGGAAACCGTAAGGAAGAAAGCACATAGGTGAAAGTGTACTTCAGTTCAAGTTCATTTTTAGTAAAGATGTAAGGGTAGTGCCTAGGCAGTTAATATTGTGGACATCATGTCATCACTGTTTCTGCTTAGTAACCATAAAACCCGTGCTGGTGTTGGCCTTCTCACACGCACATCCTCGGGTGGGGTTCTTCCTGTCTTCTTGCCTTAACATTGCTTGTGTCACTCTTGAGAGGGGAGAGTTTGACTGACGACCTCCTAATAATACTTCTAGGTGGCCAAGAAGGTCCGGGAGCTCATGGCAGACAGTGAAAGCATGGACGTCCTCCACGAGAGCCACGACGTTTTCAAGAGAGAGCAGGACGAGCAGCTTGTGCAGTGGATGAACAGGTCACCACAGATGCGACATGGGTGTTGGCGTGCATGTCTCATGTCTTCCCATGCTGACGGTTCGTTTACTGTCCCTTACAGGCGCCCGGATGACTGGACTCTTTCTGCTGGCGGCAGCGGCACCATCTATGGATGGGGACACAATCACAGGGGGCAGCTTGGGGGCATCGAAGGAGCCAAGGTCAAAGTCCCCACTCCATGTGAGGCCCTGGCGACTCTCAGACCCGTGCAGTTAATTGGAGGGGAGCAGACTCTCTTTGCTGTGACCGCCGATGGGAAGGTAAGAGTGCATTTCCTGTGTCATACGGACATTAACCCTGGGGACAGCTGTGGCTGCAGTCTGGCTTGTGGTATGTGTGGGGCTTCGCACAGAAACATCACCTCAAGGGTAACAGTTCTGACAGTGCGCTCGGAGCTGTTGTCACTCAGAGGCGTTCCTGTGTGACCTTTCATGTGCTCCGTAGCTTTACAGTTTTTGTTTTAAATACACATAAGTATCATAGTTGTTTGCATGTCAGTAATTTGTTGGATTTTTCCTTTTGTCTTTGCTGTTGGAATGCTTTTAAAAAGCTAAGTGCTGCTGTTATGTGGAAATAGTTGATGTGTACATGTTGACTTTATGTCTAGTTACTTTATTCTCTCTTTTCTTTGTGATGTATTTCAAGATTTTTTGTATCTTCTTATAGAGAGCCATAATCTGTAAATGAGTTTCATTCCTTTCCTGTTTACCTGTCTGGGAGAAAGGGGGCTTATTGTGCTGGGTGGGGTGTGGTGAAGTATTGAACAGCGGTGCTTGTCGTGGGCCTGTTGTCTGCATCCAGGCTGCAAAGGAAACCCTGTGACTGAATGCTCCCCACATCACTGTGTGTTTTGGTAGATGTCCTTTGTCAGATTAAGGAAGGTCCCTTCTGTTTCTGTTCATGAATGGAGATTGACTTTTGCCAAACACTCTTTCTACATTAAAAAATATTTTATGGATGCTTGCTCCTTTAGTGGATTGAGCTAGTGCACTGGATGGATTATCTTGCAGTCTCCCCGGGTCAGGACTCTGGAGGTGGCTCGGCTCAGTCCTCTAGCCAGTCCTCTACCCATGGAGGACAATTCAGTTCTTTGCCACCTGCTCTAGGCCACCTCGCAGAGTGGCAGCTGGCTTTGTCAGTGAGCCAGGGAAGAGGGGACGAGAGAGTGAGATGAGAGCAAGATGGAAGGCACGGTCATGTGTGACCCAGTCCAGAGGTGACAATCTGTTCCTGCTGCCATATTCCCGCCACTAGAAGCAAGTCAGTAGGTCCAGCCCACATTCAAGGAGAGGGGATCACATGGGGCGGGGCAGGGACCCTTGGGAACCACGTCCGAGGCTGCCACCAAGAGTATCACGGTGGTGCTAGCCTCAGAAGAAGGGTTGAAGTTTAGCCTTCTTTTTTCAACTTTCTGGAGAATTCTGTGTCTGTTAGTTGTTTTATGGTTCTTCTAACATGAACGTTGAAAGTTTAGAGATAGTTAGTATGTCTGCCCTCCTCCCAGATAATGCAGACACTGACCCTTGGTTATGCTGCGTCTCGGCACTAACCTGTGCCCTGGTGACAGGCACTATAGTTGTTCTATACAGACTCCGTTTTTCCTGGATTTCCCCAAATGGTACACACATCTCTGATCACCATTTCTATGTGACCATTTTTCTTCTACTTTTATTGTTTCATTTAGTGAGGGTCTTTAGTTGGTTATTCGTCTGATTGTTTTTGTTAGTTTATTTGAAAGTATCTTTATTTTGTTCTTTTCTAGAGTAAGAGTTCCAAACACTTTCTGTAAATGGCACAATAGTATTTTTGGCTGTGTGGCTCATATGGTCTGTTGCAACTATCAGCAGACCTACGAACAATATGTAAATTAATGTGCGTGGCTGTGTTCCAATAAAACTTTATATAAAAAGTAGGTGGTGGGCCTGGTTTGTCCCATGGGCCATAATTTGCCAGCCTGTTCTAGAGTATAAAATTTTCCGTTGACCATTATTTTCAGTCAGCCTATTAAAAGTTTTCTTCTGATGTTTGGCCTTCATTATTGCTGATGGGATATTAGCAGTCAGAAGAATTTTTACCCAAATGAAGGTAATAAATCTTTTCTCTGTAGCTGCTTTTAAGATCTTTCTTTAGTGATCTACAGTTTCACTGTTATATATTTAGATGTCGATTTCTTTTGATTTTTGCTGCCCTTTTTTGTTGTGTTGTTGTGTTTTGTTTTTGTCAGGTGGTGGGGTCAGGGGGCGGGCTTCCTGGCTCTGAGAAGTGGTCTTTCAACAACTCTGGTAAATTCCCAGACATTTGTTTTTCAAACATTGCATGGTCTCCATTTGAAGCTCAGTTCTGATTGATGTTCGAATGAGAAGGCCTTCCTCTGTCCTCGAGTTACCATTGTCGTATTTCCTTTTTCTCTGTGTCCCTGTGCCCTGTGCTGGACAATTTCTCCAGATCCATCTTCCAGTTCATTGACTTTTTTCACCAGTTTATAATCTGCTGTTTAATACATCTGGGTTTTTCATTTCAATTATTTTTAATTTCTGGAAGTTCTGCTTTGTGTTATCTTATAGTCTCTTATTCCTTAGGGATATTTTCAAGCTTTTATTTCTTTAAACGTAACATTGAGCTGTTGTTCTGGTGCTCACTGATGACGCCTTCTTTCCTCTTGTATGATGAGAATTTTAAACTATGAGCTCACTATTTTCCTTGGAACATTTTAGAACTTCCTTGAGCCCTGGTTTGAAATCAATCATCAAAAGAGAATTTATAGGGCCGGCCAAGTGGCTTAGTTGGTTAAGAGCTTGCTCAAGAATGTGAGCTCTGAGCAACAGGGTCGCCAGTTCGATTCCCACATGGGCCAGTGAGCTGCGCCCGAGCTAAGCTGCTACTGAGTTGCCAACAGGTGGCAGGATGCCTCAGCTGGTGAGAGCATGTGCTTCTAACAAGGCTGCCTGTTTGAGATCATGGGCTACACCTGCCCGCAACTAAGACTGAACTCAGCACCTTGAGCTGAGCTGCCGCCCAGATGGCTCAGTGGATAGAGCGTGCGCTCTTAACAATGAAGCTGCTGGTTCAACTCTCGCATGGAATGGTGGCTATGCCCGCCTGCAACTAATTGAACATAGCACCTTGAGCTGAGCTGCCCGACTGGACTTGGAGTTGAGCTTGCTGCGCCCTCCACAACTAAGATTGAAGAACAACAACTTGGCTGTTCCCCTTCCCCAATTCCCCAACTTGGCTCCACTCCCCCATTTTTCCAACACTGTTCCCCTCCTTCAATTCCCCAATAAAAAATCTTAAAAAAAAAATGAATTTATAACCCTTGGGTACTACCAATCGTAAGACACTATAAATTAAATTCTCTACCTGAGGGTTTAGACCATACGGAGCATAATTCAGACTGAAGACCAACCTATGTTCTCTGTTCTCTTCTTAGTTCTCATTCACAGTCAGGGTGAGCGCATAGCCCCTCAGAGCCCCAGCTTTCTACAGGTCTCTCCTTTCAGGGACTTCCCCCACAGCCCGAGACTCTCAAACCTGCCTGCCTGGGGAAGCTGGCTTCGGGCTCATCTGTCTATTTGAGTTCTTGGGTTCACTTCGTCTTTTAGTTCTTGAGGTTTCTTCAATCCCCAGCAACACATTCGAAACAGTATGAAACAACATTTAGATTTTTATGGGAGAGATGTTTGATGTGTGTTTGGAAATGCCTGTCTGATTTTTTTAAATAAATGGTAAAGATGTTTTGTGTCCCAAAACAATCACCCACTTAGAGTGAAAGAAAAATAGTGCATTCTACTGTGTGATTTATATGCTGCCTTGCTGAAATATTAAATATATTTTATAATTTTCCTATCACTGTTTCTGTGGGTATTATTATCAGGGGTTTGTGTATAGTAGATAATTAAATCTTTTTTGTTTTTCTTAGTATTAATTATAGCTGGTATTGTAGACAAAAATAGAAATGCTTTCAAGAAAAAGACCTTATTTTCAAAACATTTCGTGAATTTGGTATTTCTAACAGTCATTACTTTTTCTTTCAATTTTAGAGCTCTGACAAAGCACAAAGAAAGTCTTAGAAATGCCTGTGATTTTTCATTTTAGATTTCATTTCTCTATGGTAGAAACGTCTAGACCAGGGGTCCGCAAACTGTGGCTCGTGAGCCACATCCAAAGAGCCTCATGTGGCTCGCGAGCTGCAGTTTGCCGACCCCTGGTCTAGAGCGCTAATTGGGATCATGGTGCTCTTTAGGTACAGTCTGATGTCCATATTGCTTTTTCCTCTCCAGCTGTATGCCACTGGGTATGGTGCAGGCGGCCGACTGGGAATTGGGGGGACTGAGTCGGTGTCCACCCCTACGTTACTGGAGTCCATCCAGCACGTGTTCATCAGGAAGGTGGCCGTGAACTCAGGCGGGAAGCACTGCCTTGCCCTGTCTTCGGAAGGAGAGGTTTACTCTTGGGGTGAGGCGGAAGATGGGAAGCTGGGGCATGGCAACAGAAGGTATGATGAGAACACGCATGTTCTGTGTTGGTTTGTTAGTCTTGTGCTGTCTAGTGTGTTGGCTCTTGGTTTTTCAGAAGAACACTTACAATTATCAAATTAAATGTTAATGACTCATTTGACAGAAATAAACCCTTATAACAGTGTGTCTTGGGGGGGAATCAATTCTGAGTGTTTGATTTCTAAGTACTAAGTATGGTGAGCTTCCTTTTGTCCTTCTTCACCATGTCCCCTTCCCTGATCCCCAGTCACTCGCTGAGTCACTGTTGGCACTTAGTTAACACGAGTGACATTAAAACTGTAAATACAGGGGGAATAGCAAGTAAGGGTAAAGGAACACACACATGACAGTTTTTTTTAAACAAAGCAACCAAGCCCACTAGTTTTTAAAAATTAATGGGAACTGCCACGTTGGAGCAACAGGGACCTTTGTATCTGAAGTAACTAAAGCACCAGCCAATATATAGAAAAGAACAGAGTAGACATTGGGTGACAGGCAGGAAAATACATGCGCTGATGTGCAGAGCTGAGTACTGACAGTCACGTGTATGAAGACAGTGCCCGAGGCCAAGGGACACACCATCTACAAGGATTAGGACTGTTCCCAGAGCCCACAGAGGAAGGATAGAGCCTGCTCCCAAACCTCAGAATGGCATCAGTAGTCATCAATAATCAGCAAACAAGTGTTGGCAAGGATGTGGAGAAAAGGGAACCCTCAGGCAGTGTTGGTAGGATTGCAGATTGGTGCAGCCACTGAGGAAAATAGTATGGAGGTTCCTCAAAAAATTAAATATAGAACTACCTATGGCCCAGCAATTCCACTTCTGGGTATTTATCTGAAGGAAATGAAATCACTATCTCACAAAGGTACCTGCACCCTCATGTTCACTGCAGCATTACTCACAATAGCTAGGATATGGAAGCAACCCAAGTGCCCATCAATAGATGATCGGATAAAGAAGTGGTTGTGTGTGTGTCTGTCTGTCTATGTCTATGTCTGTGTGAGTGTACACACACACACACACACACACGAAATAGTATTCAGCCATAAAAAAGGAAATCCTGCCGTTTGAGACAACATGATGGACCTTGAGGACATTGTGCTGAGTGAAATGAGTCAGAGAAAGACAAACACTGTGTGATCTCACTTACATGTGGGATCTAAAAAAGCTGAACTCATAGAAACAGAGAGTACAGTGCTGGGTACCGGGGACGGTGTTGGGGGAATGGGGATGTGGTGGTCAGAGGGACAGACTCCAAGTTACAGGATAAGCAGGTTTAGGGTACCTAAGGTACAGCGTAATGACTAAAGTTCACAGTACTGTATTTTATACTTGAAAGTTGCTGAGATAATAGATCTTCAATGTTCTCACCATAAAAAAAAGAGAACTAATTATATGAGGTGATGGAGCTATTAACTAACCTTACGTGGTGATCATTTCACAATATGTATGTGTATCAAACCATCATTGTACACCTTAAACTTACAGTATTATATGTCAGTTATGTCTCAATAAAGCTGTAAAAAAATTATTTAGGCATGCAAAAGAATAGGAAAATGCAGCCTGCATAAAAAGAAAAATCAGTCAATTGAAGCTGACCCAGAAATAACACAGTGATAGAATTACTAGACAAGAACATTAGAACAGTTATTTTACCCACATGCTATATCTTCAAGAAACTGGAGGGAAAACTTGAACATGTTAGGTAGAGACTGAAAGATATTTCAGTGCCCAGATCAAAGGCAGAAGAAGATTAGACAAGAATCCATGAAATAGAACAAAGAAAAATCAAAGAAAACAAAAGTCAGTTCTTTGAGAAAGTCAATATAATTGATAAAATGTCCATCTACACTGATCAGGAACAAAAAGAATATATAAATTATATCAGTATCAGGAATGAGGGAGTTTTCATCTCCACAGAAGGTACAGTTATTGAAAGATGAGGTATAATGGACAACTTTATGCAAACAAATTAAACTTTTTAGATGAAATTGACAAGGCCCTCAAAGGATGCACACTGTTTAAAGTTCACTCAAAAAGAAATAGGTGACTCATCTAGCCCTGAATCTACTTGAGAAATTGAACTTCCCACAAATAAATCTCCAGGACCAGATGACTGCTGATTTCTATCACACATGTAATGACAGATAATACCTGTTCTCCACAAGTGAGCTCAGAGAGCGGAGGTAATTATCCCCAATTCTTTGTATTGGGGTGACACTAGTTGATAAAATTATATAGGTTTCAAGTGTACAGTTCTATAATAGATCTCCAAAAAGGCCTTCTCCAAGGCACATTATATTAAAACTGTCAAAAATTAGTGACAAAGAATTCTCAAGGCAGCCAGGGAAAAGAAGACAGTAACCTATAAAGGAAAGCCCATTAGATGACTATCAGATTTTTCAGCAGAAACTCTGGAAGCCAAGAGGGAGTGGAACCCAAATCATTTTTTTTTTTTGGTAAAGATTTTATTGGGGAATTGGGGAAGGGGAACAGCCAAGTTGTTGTCCTTCAATCTTAGATGTGGAGGGCACAGCTAGCTCAGCTTTAAGTCTGGCTGCCTGTCGGCAGCTCGCGGCTGCTCAGCTCAAGGTGCCGTGTTCAGTCTTAGTTGCATGTGGGCACAGTCCACCATCCCATGCAGGAGTCTGAACCCGCAACCTTGTTGTTAGGAGCACATACTCTGACCAACTGAGCCATCCTGCCACCTGTTGGCAGCTCGTGCAGCTCAGCTCAGGCGCAGCTCACTGGTCCATATGGGAATCGACCGGCCCCATTTTTTTTTTTTTTGAGGACAGCTTTACTCTTGTGTCAAAACCAGACTCATACACAGCATGAACATAGATGTAAAAGTTCCTAACACTTTAGAGAATCAAATTGAATGATTCATAAAAGGATATTAAGACGCGACCAAGTGAGGTTTACACTAGATATTGCACAGTTGTTTCCACATTAGAAATTAACATAATAGAAAAGAAAAACTGTATGATCATCTCAGCAGATGAAAGGCGGAAGAGCATTTGGCCAATTTCAACATCTATTTCTGATAAAAGCATTCAGCAATCTAGTACAGGCACACCCTGTTTTATTGTGTGTCATAGGTGTTGCATTTTTCTTCACAAATTGAAGACAAAACCTACACCTGCCAAAAGATCACGACTCGCTTTGTTGTAGTGCTTGCTTTCGTGAGGTGGTCTGAAATGGACCTGCAGTTTCTCCAAGGTGTGCCTGTAGAAGAGAAGTTCCTTAACATTATAAAGGGCACCTCTGTCAAACCAAGAGCTCATGGGCATTTGTGGTGACAGACTGAAAAAAGCTTTCCCAACTTCAGGAGCAAAACCAGGACGTTTGCTGTCACCACTTCTGTTCAGCATTGCACCACCAGTTTAGCAAGTGCAGGACAGAAATACAAGGAGATCAGAGGCACTCAGGCTGGAAAGAGTGAAAGCTGTCACTTACACATAATGTGACTAATTATGTAGAAAATCTGATGGTATATATGAAAAAACCTACTAGAATTAATAAGTGAAGTTAGCTGGGTTGCAGGAAAAAGACCAATAAATAAAAGTCAGTTGTATGTATTTATACATATGCAAACAGAAATTGACATTTAAAAATGCCATTTATAGCACTCTTTCCCCCCAAATGAAATAGTTTTCAAATAGACTTATCAGGGATAAATCTGATTTTTAAAATGTGGATGACTTACAGACAGAAAACTACAAAATATTGCTGGGAGAAATTTTAAGAGACATGAAATCATGGAGGAGTATACTACTGTGTTTAATATTGTTGATATGTTAGTTTTCTCTAAATTAACCTATAGGTTCAACTCCTTCCCAATAAAATTTCTGTAGAAATTGACAAGCTGATTATAAACTTCTTATGGAAATGGAAAGTACCTAGAATAGCCTGAACAGCTTTGACATTGAGGAGTAAATTTGGAGGACTGAAACTTCCTGCCTGCAGGCCTCATTTCAAAACTATAGCAATCAAGACAGTTGGCACTGGTGTAGAGAGAGAACTGTATCAGTGGGTACAGTCACACAGAAATACTGAGTGGGACAGGATAGGAAGTCCAAATATGTACCCACAAATACTGACACAGTGAGTTGGAGAAAATGAAACTGGATTTCCCCCTCACAATTTTCAATGCACAGTTTACAAAAGTGTACAGTTCATTGGAGAAAAGTTAGTCTTTTTAATGAATGGTGTTGAATGGTTGGATAACCATATATAGCAAGCAGCGAACGAAAATTTTTATCTTGCACCTTATCCAGAATTAACTCAAATGATTCATAGTCATAAATGTAAAACTTAAAACTGGGAGAAAACCTTTTTGACTTTAGGTCAGACAAAGATTTTTAGATAGAACTCCAAAAGCATGAGCCAATAAAGAAGAATAGGATAAATTGGACTTCACAAAATTGTGAAATCCTGCCCTTTTAAACGGTTGAAAAGATGTGCTCCTGATGGGGGAAGCATGTTTGTGATCATATATTTGTGATCTTACATCCAAAATTACTAGAGAAGGCTTTCATAACTCAGCAACATGAAAACAAGTTCATTATCAGTGCATGCCACATTATAGGCTAATTGACATTCATACAATAAAACTCCTTAAATGTAAGGTTGATTTATAGCAAGGGGGGCAGCTTGTTTCTCTAAAGTGCCAGGTAGTAATAAATATTTTAGGCCGGCCATGTATAGTTTCTGTTGTATGCGTTTTTTTTTCAGGTTTTTTTTTTTTTTTTTTTTTTGCTTTTGCTTTTCCAACTTCTTTCAGAACAGCATAGATCTTTTTTTTTTCTTTTTTTTAATTTAATTTATTTATTTATTGTTAGTTTCAGGTGTACAGAACAATGCAATAGTTACCCTTTTCACCCTCACAAAGTAACAACCCCCCACCCCCCAT